GCACAGCTCGAAAGCTGTTCGGGGGTACCAGCGACAACACCAGGAGAAGTTTTGCATCAGGTGGAGGGAGAAGGCGACAGCTGTTTTCACCCCTGCCCGGAGGTTCTCGGCGAGTCACGACAACGTCGCCAAGGTAGCCGACGTCATCGACAGTTCAAGTTCAACTTTGAAAAAATTCTTGCGGGGTTAGGGGGAGGAGCAGCAGTTGTTCCTAGCCTCTGCCCGGGAGTTTTCGGAGAATCGCGACAAAAGCATCGGCGAGTCACGACAAGGCCGCCGGTGCTGCTGACATCATCAATACCCGAGTTCGAGTTTTGATGGAATTTTCGATGGAGTTTTCACAACGACACTCGGGATGTTACGCGATCCGCCCTCCTCACTGAACATCGTTGATGTGCTACAACGACTTCACAATTTTCGCAACCGTCTTTGACAACGAACTCCAACAATCCGGAGTCACGACTGAAGGAATATTGGACTGGTGCAGGGGTTTTTCTACTAGCGGCACGGCGACCAACAGGTTCTCGCCAGCGACAAAATCAAGTTTCCGGGTGGCAGCTGTCAGAATCCCAGCCACTAGACCACTGGGATAAAAGGGCTTGTTAAGTAGCGGGTCAGTGCGCCCATAACCCCCCAGGCCAATGTGCCTGTAACCCTTCTCTAGGATCAATCGGGGATCTCCAGTGGACCTCTGACACCCCCCCGCACTAAGATGCCCGAGGTGCACACACTGGGATTCGAACCCGAGACCTTCGCTCTGATACCATGTCAGAATCCCAGCCACTAGACCACTGGGATAAAAGGGCTTGTTAAGTAGCGGGTCAGTGCGCCCATAACCCCCCAGGCCAACGTGCCTGTAACCCTTCTCTAGGATCAATCGGGGATCTCCAGTGGACCTCTGACACCCCCCCGCACTAAGATGCCCGAGGTGCACACACTGGGATTCGAACCCGAGACCTTCGCTCTGATACCATGTCAGAATCCCAGCCACTAGACCACTGGGATAAAAGGGCTTGTTAAGTAGCGGGTCAGTGCGCCCATAACCCCCCAGGCCAACGTGCCTGTAACCCTTCTCTAGGATCAATCGGGGATCTCCAGTGGACCTCTGACAGCAGCTGCTGACAGCTGGAGCTGCTGCAGCAATCAAGGATTTCGATTCTGCCACAGCAACAAGGCGACGGACTATATTTCGGGCTGCAGATGCTGCAGCAACAGTCGCAATACAGGACAACGAGAGGTTTTCTTCGGGAAGAACCATTTTCCATGATTTCGGGTCCCAGCGCAACAAAGTTTAACATTTTAAAGAATTCGAAGCAGTTTACTCTGGCCGTTGTTTACGCGCCACATCAGCGACATTTCGCCACCGACTGCGACTTCGACAGTGGAGCAGCTAAAACTCAGGCGGGGGGTCATAACACTTGGTATTCTGCCCACCCTCGGCGGTCAGGGTGGTTGGAGTCTCGTGCCCGCGCAACTGGGCACATTTTGGAGGGCGATTCTCTTCAGGAAGGGGGGGGGGGGGGGGGGGGGAGAGAGTCTTTTTTGCACTGTTTTCCTCAACAGTTCTGACAATGTCGTCAAACTCTGACAGCACGACGGACGCTCGCGATGACTTCATCGACATTGACGGCTTCAGATTCATCGTTCTCTGACAAACGCATCAGCACCGCGTTCATCCCTACCGTCCAACACGTATCCGCCAAATCAACGGTTTTCATTCATCGGCTGATTTTCAACTCGACATTTGTCAGAATATTATGCTCTAGCCTGTAGTGGGGTGCTCTATAGCGAGTACAACTCTTCTAGGGTTTTGCTATTTGTATCCCCATTCTTGCTAGTGCAACTCCCTCTTCTTCCCTCTTCTTTCTTCTAAACTTTTCACATGCTATCAGAGCAGGTCGATCCCCTTGGATCGATCCTGTGGGTGGGCTCACCACCTTGTTGCTTCCGCTGCAACTGCTACTCCTACTCTCTGTGCCGCACGCCCCGTGGCGTGCGGCAGTTTTTCTTCCCGCCGTGCGCCCCGAGGCGCGCGGCGGTTTTCTGCCCGCCGTGCGCCCCGAGGCGCGCGGCGGTTTTCTGCCCGCCGTGCGCCCCGAGGCGCGCGGCGGTTTTCTGCCCGCCGTGCGCCCCGAGGCGCGCGGCGGTTCTCTGCCCGCTGTGCGCCCCGAGGCGCGCGGCGGGCTTCTGCCCCGTTGCTCGGCGCGTCGCCCTCGGGAGGCGCTGCGACGGGCGACGGGGACCCGCGCGTCGCCCCCCGTCGCCCGTCGTGGCCTGTGCGCGGCCCCTGCAGCCCCGTCGCGCCGCCCAGGGGAGCCGCGCGCGGCCCTGCTGTCCCGTCGCGCTGCCCAGGGGAGCCGTGCGCGGCCCCTGCTGCCCCGCCCCGTCCCGGACCTGCCCCGGCCCCGACCTGCCCCGGCCCAACTCCCGTCGCCCGTCGCGGCGCCCTGGGGGGGGCCGCAAGCGGCCCCCCCCAGCGTCGCCTCGACAGGCGACGGGAGGGGAGTATGCAGGGGGCCGCGCGTCCCCCCCCCCCCCCTACCTCCCTACCCTGTTTTTAGGGTTTGGGGGGTGGCGGTTGGGGGGTGGCAGTTGGGGGGTGGCGGGTTTGTGTTTAACCCTTCTCCTCCTCCTCCTCCGTCTCCCTGTGCTGCAGCTGCCGCTGAGGGGGGGTGGACGTGTTGGAGCCGGTGGAGTGGTACTAAGGGGGGGTGAAGGGGGAGTGTAGCTAGCGGTGTAGCAGCGGGTATGTGCCAGGGGGGAGTGGGATAGTTTGGGGAAGCTGAATGGAGGTTGCCGTCGTGTCGCCAGCAGCACCTGTATTCCGGGGACTTCGTCCGGTAGCCCAGTCGTAGCCAGCTGTGCCAGCCGCCCGTGGGTCCGTTGCTCGTCTGCCGCTACTTTAGCCGCGGGGCCTGTTACTCCTGTATTCCGGGGACTTCGTCCGGTAGCCGCTGTGCCAGTCTGCCTCCTGTTGCCTGTGTGTCTGCAGCTTCAGCCGTCGCCTCCTATCTCCTCTCCTCTCACTCTCTCTCCTCCTCCTCACTTGCCCGTTGTGACTACCACTAGCTTTGCTCATAATTGTGAACTTAAACTATTGCTTCTTGAACTTGTGCTCAGAATGTGTGGTGACATTGTGATCCACCCTGAGCTTGTTTTCTTTTGCTTGCTCTGCTGATTACACCCCACTTTGGCTATGGGGGTGTGTCAGAATATTATGCTCTAGCCTGTAGTGGGGTGCTCTATAGCGAGTACAACTCTTCTAGGGTTTTGCTATTTGTATCCCCATTCTTGCTAGTGCAACTCCTTCTTCTTCTCTTCTTTCTTCTAAACTTTTCACAACATTCGCCTTTTCAACCTCTCGATCGACATCGACAGTATCAACGGCTGACATTCCAACTCTTCGAATTTCACCTGGCCAACGCGCTCAGCCACGCGTCAGCTCGACGGGCAACTCTTCGCTACACCGTCAGATCAGTTTCCATTGAAGATCTGCAGTTCTCACGCTACTGCAAGACTCGGCTATGTATAAAGAGGCCTTATCTAGAAGGTGGGAGATTGTAATGAATATAGCTATTCATTACTGAGTCTGCTCCTAGGGCGTACAGCCCTGAGCACTTCGCGCCAGTTTCAGGTTTGGCCTACATTTCGGCCCGAACCACTACCGAGTCGCCCCGTGCCAATCGCGACATTTCCAAGCCACGCACGTCACGACGTTCTCGTCTAGCACGTATTCGCCCTATAAATGCTTGCTTCATCCAGTCAATTGTCATTCTGTATTCACAATCTCTTTATAAAGTCTTCCGCGCACTCTGTTCAGTACAACTCATAACATCGGCCCTGTCCTTGTTTTTGTTTATAGGCAAGTTCACTACGAGGTGTACCTTTGCTTCGACAGTCGTAACTGGCGAAATCGAACTGTGTCGCGAAATCGTTTCTTGCGAGCCAGGATTTCGCGGACTACTGGGACCTTCGGTGTGGGTTTCACTGCTGAACTTACTATTTCAGCGTTGACTTTCGTTGAGTGAAATGGTGTGGATTCAAGTTCGTTGACATGTCGCTGCACGAAATCCCATGAGTACGAAACACGAATCGCTCTCAACCAATGAGTTTGCGTCGCTAATCTTCGTGGATGCGCTTCGAAATGACACTGCTGCAACAATGTTTGACGTACCAAATCAGGTGCGCTTCGGGTCGACACCACAAAGTTGACATGTCGAATGCTCACATACAAAGAGAACCCAACGATGCCTGATCCAAAGAGCATTTTACGGCTTTTATCTAATGCATGCAGATTTCGCTAGTACAAGTTTGCGAATGCATGCAATAGACGGTTCAGGGAAAAATGTCGGCCTGCCGGCAAAATCATGCGGTTACCCGTGTCTAGGGTTCCCCCAGTCGCATGCCATCCAGATGGGGTTTATTTGTTTCTGACCGCAGGCAGATAGCAGTCCGTCAGCCTCTTTCTTCTGCGGCCGTCTATTGTGTGCATCTGCATAATCGCACTGGCATAAGTTGAATTCCGTTGAAAATGGCCCAACATTTTACGACTCATGAATCGCTCTCACGCAGAGGTTACCCAACCCAACCCACACGGAGAATTGCACATAGTCAACCTTCCCGAGCCGCAGCCGCGTTGTTGCTTGAATCACGAGACATGCAAGGAAGCTTGGACATTGCCTTTTTCCCCGCAGGCACCAGCTGCACCGAATTTCATGATACACGTCGCGGTGACAGATTGTGCCGCGGCGGCTTCGCCTTCTAAAGAATGAATGCGAAGCATCCAAATCTTACATTTCTCATCGTCATGGCGATTGTTGCTCTAATTCATCTTTGCGATGCACATGATGACTCTCGTGCTCGTCTAGCAAGCCGTTTATTCGAGGTGCTCAACTCTTCTATGCCACTATAGTACGCATAGCAAAGTGATAGATGCCTAATATTACAACAGCCAATACATATTACAAATATTACTAGTTTTACCGTCTCCTACTACAAGTATGGCGGGTGCCTCGTCGCATCATTGCCATTCGCACGCGTCGTGGTGCGCCGTTCTCTGCCTGCTGCTGCTCTCGTTGTCCGCGACTGCGTGGGCTCAGGTGGGAACGGTGTCGCCGACCAAGGCGGAGTACCTGGCGGAGCTCAACACGCTCGCTTCGAGGCTCAAGAAGCAAAGCTGTAGCGTCATGGCGAAAGCCGTGTCTAGCTTCGCTAGTGAAGTCGGTGAGTGAGCGAGTGATTGAGTGTGTGTGTGTGTGTGTGTGTGTGTGTGTGTGTGTGTGTGTGTGTGTGTGTGTGTGTGTGTGTGTGTGTGTGTGTGTGTGTGTGTGTGCGTGCGCGCGCGCGTGTGTGCGTGTTTGTGTGTGTTTGTGTGTGTGTGTGTGTGTGTGTGTTTGTGTGTGTGTTTGTGTGTGTGTGTGTGTGTGTGTGTGTGTGTGTGTGTGTGTGTGTGTGTGTGTGTGTGTATGTGTGCTGCTGTTGTTGTTTTTGTTTTTGTTTTTGTTTTTCCAATAGTTTCTTATCTGTGTCCAGATCGCAAATCGTTCACACTAAGTTTTCAGCGCTGACCTTACTCGAGGCGATCCAAGACTCACCCCGAAGCCACCTGACCTGATTTCACTCCCCTCCTTTCCCCTATCTCCCACCTCACTTCCCCCTCCCTTTCCGCACCAGAGAAACTCACTGAAGCTAGCTTCTCTGCAGGTTACAAGGAGCTCACCTTCCTTGCACCTTCCGACTTTGCGTTCACAAAAGCAGCCTTCCGGCCGCGTGTCTCTGCAGTCAGTCCTTCTGAGATTGTGAAGTATCACACTCTATCAGGGCTCTACAGCTTTGCGCAGCTTAAAGCCCTGCCCAACCGCAGCAAGATACCTACTGAGGCGGGGAAGAGCATAGTGAAGCACAGCGTGCAGGCGAGTAAGTTTTGGAATCCCGGTACGAGTGTGGCGGTGAGCAGCCCGGGAGCGCAGCAGCTGTTTTGGGCGCAGGTGGACACCAAGAAGCTGTTCAACGGCAAGTATGTGAAGGGGCATGTCATTGACTGCGTTCTCGTGCCCAACTGACAGACGCTTGCGAGACAATCAAGGCTGGACCCAACCGTTGTGATACGGTAGTTGCGTTGCACTGTACAGCGTGGAGTGGAGGTTGAATTGGTACTTACCGTTGGAAGTTTCAGTCTGCAGCAGCTACCATGGGTGAATGCTGGGTACCATGTTGGTGTTTGAGATCCTTAGAGGTGAACCATTCCTGTTGCCGCTCCTTGATTCGCAAGGGCACATCCTACAGGCTACTAGCACTGCCCCTTGCATGTTCCTACGGTAGTTACTGTTGTCGCTATTATCTAGGCTAGGTTTTAGAGTTCTTGCCTAGGTCAGGATGCATGATTGGTAGAGTTGTAGCAATTTCAGAGTCACATTCACATACTGTACGCGAAGCAGCACGCACCACCAGTTGCCATTGCGATCCTTTTCCAACGCATAGTGAACACGAGTGAGGACCACTAAGTGTAACAGAAGACTACGCAACCAGCAACCAATGCAGCAGGTCATGAACATCAGCCCCTAGTGAGCATACAGCAGCTACAGGCAGGCACAAACCATTTTAATGGATGCTGAGAGAGACATGGGAGAGGCATACAGGCAGCTATGGGCAGAGACATGGGATTCTTCTCTGCTCAGAGGAGCAGGAACGGCAGAGAAGAATCCCCCACGAGCAGAGCAGCAGCGGCTAGGGGCAGAGCAGGGCGGACATGAGAGTGTCGCGGATGACTGGGTCTTGGACCTGTGAGAAGACTCGCGCCTCGATGGCTGGCAGCATGCGCCACACCTGGTGGTGCCGGAAGGTGCAAAGAGGTGCAGGGAGGTAACGTTGAGCTCAAGGGAGGTGCAGTGAGGTGCAGTGAGGTGCAGGGAGCTGACCTTGAGGTCGAGGGGGACGGAGAATAGGAATGAGAATTATGTAATGGATATGATGGCAGGCCAGCATATGATGGCAGGCCAGCATGCCACCTCCTGTGCCAGACTAACACACTGGTTGGCTGTGGTAGGGGCGGGATAGTGGGCGCATGTGCACCAGCACACAGCACATCCAGTCGCTTTGATTCAACTCCTGAGACATTTCAACTGCCACACCCAACCTGCCTGAAGCATCTCACCTGCCATAACCAACTTAACACACCTGCGGGCTGTGGTAGCGGCACAGCGAGCGCATGTGGCCCAGCACACAGCGCATCCACTCCTTCTCCCCCGCCGCCTTGAGCCGCCTCTTGTGCCCCCGCTCCTCCTCCTCCTTCCTCCTCTCCTCCTCCCTCTTCCTCCGCCCTGCCAGCCTCCTGGAGTCACCGCAGGGACAGCACATCGAGGAGAGGAGAGAGAGAAAGAAGGTAAATGAGGGAGAGGCGGGAACCGAGGGAAAGGGAAAGGGAAACACTGGAGTGCCTTTCAGAGCCTGTGTCCTCCCGAATCCCCTGTGTACTCCAGGCTCTAGCGGCTGTGGGAGTTTCTGTCCTCCCACAGCCTCTACAGCTTGTGACCCCTCTACAGCTTGTGACCCCTCTACAGCTTGTGACCCCTCTACAGCTTGTGACCCCTCTACAGCTTGTGACCCCTCTACAGCTTGTGACCCCTCTACAGCTTGTGACCCCTCTACAGCTTGTGACCCCTCTACAGCTTGTGACCCCTCTACAGCTTGTGACCCCTCTACAGCTTGTGACCCCTCTACAGCTTGTGACCCCTCTACAGCTTGTGACCCCTCTACAGCTTGTGACCCCTCTACAGCTTGTGACCCCTCTACAGCTTGTGACCCCTCTACAGCTTGCAACATCGCTAGAGCTTGTGACTTCCCATACTCAGCACCATTCTAACAGCATCATCCCGTTTCCACCACCTCATCCGCACCCCCGTTTTCCTCTCTTCCCCCCTCCCCTCCCCCCCCAACTTTTATATTCCTCCACCCCCTGTCATCCCCCCCTCTTATGTGCCCTCACCTGTCACTGCCACCATCCCCGCCCTCCTCTCCATCCATTCCCGTGTCGTCCCCCTCATCCTCCTCCATCCTCTCCTCCTCCACCCTCCTCGCCTCCTCTTCCTCTTCCTCCCGCGCTGCTGCCTCAGCCACAGCAGCCCGCCGATTGTTGACGGCCGTAGCGAAGTGAAGCAAAAGAGCAATGAACAGGGCCTGGGGGGAGGAGGGGAGCAGGGATGGGAGTAAAGGAAGAGGAGAGAAGAACGAGGAGGAAGCATGTGTCAAGGTGCTACGTCGGCTTTTGAGGCGCCTCAAAAGTCGTAGCATGTGTCAAGGTGCTACGTCGGCCACAGCAGCAGCCCGCCATTTGCTGACAGCTGTAGCAAAGCGGAGCAGCAGCGCAATGTCTTGAGACGTCTCAAAACACTACTTCTTTCATGAAGCAGCGGCGCAATGAACAGGGCCTGGAGAAAAGGAGGGGGAGGAGGGATGGGAGCACGGGACAAGGGAGGGGGAAGCAACGCCTGAGTCAAGGTGCTGCCTCTGCCACAGCAGCCCGCCTGTTGCTGACAGCCGTAGCACAGTGAAGCAGCAGAGCAATGAACAAGGCCTGGGGGGAAGAGGAAAAACGGGGAGCGAAGCACAGCAGGGGAATGAGCGGCAGGGAGGAGATCGAGTGGGGACGGAGAAGGAAGGAAATATAACCCAACCTCATGTTTCCTTCCGCCACACTTTCTTAGTGCCGTAAACCAAAAGGGTTGATAGAGATGGAAGTGGGAAGAGGGGGGAGCAATGAGTTCTCCAAGCACTAACTCATTGCTTCCCCTCCCACCCGTTTCCCATCTCATGCACTTTCCAACTAACAACGCCTGCTTCTCCTCCTCCTCCTCCTCCTCCTCCTCCTCCACCTCCTCCACCGCTCTCATTCAACCCTCTTCTCTTCTTTCTCCTCTTGCTGCTCAGCTGCTAGTGATGTTGATGCCCAACCCAACTCACCGAACCCAACCCATCTGGACCGCTCTCCTCTCACCTGCTCCTCCTCCTCGGCCTCTCGCCTCATCCTCTCTTTGCCCTCCACCGCTGCTGCTGCTGCCTCCGCCTCCTCCTGTGCCTTGCTGCTCCGATGCTGAAGGGCAGAGAGGGGTAAAAAGGGGAGAGAGGGGTGAAACGGGCAGAGAGGGGTGAAAAGGGGAGAGGGGGGTGAAAAGGGCAGAGAGGGGTGAAAAGGGGAGAGAGGGGTAAAAAGGGCAGAGCGGGGAAAAAAGGGGAGAGAAGGGAAAAAAGGGCAGAGGGGTAAAAAGGGGCAGAGAGGGGTAAAAAGGGGCAGAGAGGGGTAAAGAGGGGAGAGACATCGAGCGTGGGAACGGCAGAACAAGAGGTGCAATTGCCGACTTTGCCTGGTCCCCACACTACACTGCACCTATCCCCACCTATCCTCACCGCACCCCACACACCCCCCACCTTGGCCCATTCAGCTTTGGCTGCAGCCTGTGTTTTCGCCTCCTCTCCCTCCGCCTCCTCCTCTGCCAACGTGGAAGCCTCCCATTCGCTGCGCGCCTTGCTGGCAGCCGCTGCTGCCACAGCCGACGCCCTCTCGAGAACCGCCACCTCAGCGCTGACGTGGCGCAGGCGGTTGGCGGCCTTTGACACGGCGGTGCGGAGAATCTGATTTGGTAGAAGAAGGGGGAGGGGAAAGGAGGAGGAAGAAGGGCGAGGGGAAAGGAGGAGGGGGATACGAGTGGGGGAGGAGAGAATGCGTGGAAGTTTTGACTGACAGTTGGTGGCCTTTGAGAGGGCGGTGCGGAGAATCTGATTTCGGTGAGGGGAGAAGGGAAGGGGTGTGTTGAAGGAGGGCGGGGAGGAGGCAAGGGGGAAGGGGGAAAGGGGAGGACGGCACGGGACATGGGTAAGAAGGGGGAGGGATAAAAGAAGGGGCAGCGAGTGTGTGCATGCGTCCAGGTTCAGGAGTGCAGGTCGAGGAAGCAAAATCCGTGCAGCAGCACAAGTAGTCCACTCCACTCCACTCAACTCCAAGGTGGGTTGGGGGTTTAGGATTCACTTCACTTCCCTCCCCCAAGCCCACATCACCCACTCTCAAGCACGCACCTCCCAGATGCGCTCGGACGTGTGGTAGAGCTCGTAATGAGCGGGCACGAAGCACCAGTCGAGCAGAGCGAGCGGGGAGACGAGGCGGAGGCGACTTTTGAGTCGACTCAACAGGGACCAATCTCACCTCCCAGATGCGCTCGGACGTGTGGTAGAGCTCGTAATGAGCGGGCACGAAGCACCAGTCGAGCAGAGCGAGTGGGGAGAGGAGGAGACGGAAGCGACTTCTCAGTCGACTCAACAGGGACCAACCTCACCTCCCAGATGCGTTCGGAGGTGTGGTAGAGCTCGTAATGAGCGGGCACGAAGCACCAGTCAAGGAGAGCGAGAGGCGAGACGAGGCGGAAGCCGAGGCAGCGATCAACCACCACCGCCGCCATCTGAGGGGCGTTGGCCCACACGGCCCATATGCTGTGCAGCAGCTGCACCTGGGAGGGCTGTTGGGGTGGGGGAAACAGGGGAGAGGGGTGGGGGAGAGCATGTGTGTTTTTGGCACTTGTTAGCTCGTCCCCACCACTGCTGCCATCTGCGGTGCGTTGGCCCACACGGCCCATATGCTGTGCAGCAGCTGCACCTGGGAGGGCTGTTGGGGTGGGGGAAACAGGGGAGAGGGGTGGGGGAGAGCATGTGTGTTTTTGGCACTTGTTAGCTCGTCCCCACCACTGCTGCCATCTGCGGTGCGTTGGCCCACACAGCCCATATGCTGTGCAGCAGCTGCACCTGGGAGGGCTGTGGTGGGGCGGGGAGGGTGAGCGATAAGGGGGGTCGGGGGGGAGTACGGGAAAGGAGTGTGCTGTCCGCATTTGACTAGGTGACCAATGACGCCATCTGAGAGGCGTTGGCCCACACCGTCCATATGCTGTGCAGCAGCTGCACCTGGGAGGGCTGCAGTGTGGGGGGGGGGAGAGTGGAGGGAGGCAGTCACTCTTGCAAACTGACCTGATCAGGCGCCAGCAGCTGCATCGGCAGCCCATGTCTCTCCTGCGCGGTAACCGCATGAGTGATGCTCTTGGAGCCCAGCACCAGCACCAGCACCAGCACCAGCACCAGCAGCAGAAGAGCCCCTAAATCAGCGCACACAGCCCCATCCCACCCCAAACCAAACCCACCTGATCAGGCGCCAGCAGCTGCAGCGCCAGCCCGTATCTCTCCAGCACGGTAACCGCATGGGTAATACTCTTGGAGCCCAGCACCAGCAGCGTCTGGGCCACCACATCCAGCGCGCGGCCCTTGTCCCCGCCCACCTTGCCCACCGCCTGCTCCTCCACCCACGCCGCCACCTCCCTGCCTGCCCGCTTCGTCCGCACCATCACTATCAGCTCCTCAGCTACCTCCACCGCTGCTGCATCCACCCCCTCCCCATACTGCTGCACTGCGCCTTTTCCGCCGTCTTTCCCCCCGTCTTTCCCCCCTTCCCCGCCCTCCCCCTCGCCCCCCTCCTTCATGTCGCGGTCCCCCTCTCCCTCTCCCGACTTCTCCCCCTCTTTCTTCTCCCCTTCCCCCCCGCCTTCCTTCCTCCCGCGCCCCTCCCCCTCTCCCTCCCCTTCCCCCTCCCCCTCTGCAGGCGCCAGCAGTCTCCCCGGCCCCGCGGCGCGGTTGCGCTTGAACTTGAACACGGGCTCGGGCTTGGGAGGGAGAAGCTGCTCCATCTCCGCGGAACCAAGGGACTGTCACAAGGGGAGCAGGAGGGGCAGAGAGGCAGAGAGCAGATGGGTGGACAGCACAACGAAGGATCAAGAGCAAGCACCAATGCTCTGCAGGCGCCAGCGGTCTCCCCGGCCCCGCGGCTCGGTTGCGCTTGAACCTGAAGACGGGCTCGGGCTTGGGGGGCAGCAGCTGCTCCATCTCTGTGCTGCCCAGGTTAGTTTTGAGAATTCTCAAAACTAATCTCAAACAAAATGGCTTGGGGGGCAGCAGCTGCTCCATCTCTGTGCTGCCCAGGTTAGTTTTGAGAATTCTCAAAACTAATCTCAAACAAAATGGCTTGGGCGGCAGCAGCTGCTCCATCTCTGTGCTGCCCAGGTTAGTTTTGAGAATTCTCAAAACTAATCTCAAACAAAATGGCTTGGGCGACAGCAGCTGCTCCATCTCTGTGCTGCCCAGGTTAGTTTTGAGAATTCTCAAAACTAATCTCAAACAAAATGGCTTGGGCGGCAGCAGCTGCTCCATCTCTGTGCTGCCCAGGTTAGTTTTGAGAATTCTCAAAACTAATCTCAAACAAAATGGCTTGGGGGGCAGCAGCTGCTCCATCTCTGTGCTGCCCAGGTTAGTTTTGAGAATTCTCAAAACTAATCTCAAACAAAATGGCTTGGGCGGCAGCAGCTGCTCCATCTCTGTGCTGCCCAGGTTAGTTTTGAGAATTCTCAAAACTAATCTCAAACAAAATGGCTTGGGCGGCAGCAGCTGCTCCATCTCTGTGCTGCCCAGGTTAGTTTTGAGAATTCTCAAAACTAATCTCAAACAAAATGGCTTGGGCGACAGCACCTGCTCCATCTCTGTGCTGCCCAGGTTAGTTTTGAGAATTCTCAAAACTAATCTCAAACAAAATGGCTTGGGCGGCAGCAGCTGCTCCATCTCTGTGCTGCCCAGGGACTATCACGAGGGGAGAAGGAGGCGGCGGCAAGAGGGAAAAGACAGTAGTTGTTGCTCGGTTGCGCTTGAACTTGAAGACTGGCTCCGGCTTGGGGGGCAGCAGCTGCTCCACTCGGTGCTTCCGAGGGACTGTGGAAAAGAGAGGCATGGCAGGACAGGAGGGAGGGAACGAGGGACGAGGAGGGAGGGAAGGGGCGAGAGCGGTTGTCGGGTTGCGCTCGAGTCGACTCAAAAGCCCTCTCCAGTCCAGCACCTCCGACACAAACACCCTCTCTGTGGAGAGGAGGCGACCACTCCGGCTGCCGTGCTTTTGAGGCGCCTCCGACACAAACACCCTCTTGGCGCCCACTCCATGTGGGCCCATGCAGAGGAAGTAAGAGAGAGACAGAGAGTGCACCGTGCACAACACAGATTACACTGCACACGCACCTCTCTGATCTTGTCATAGTAGGACAGGGGAATCTCCCTCTCCAGCACCTCCGACACAAACACCCTCTGTGGAGAGGAGGCGACCACTCCGGCTGACGTGCGTGAGACAGTGCACAGACGACGCGACGCACCCCGTGATACCTCTTTCTACACCGTCATCACTCGGACGGACGTTGGTACCTCTCTGATCTTGTCATAGTAGGGGATGCGGATCTCCCCCTCTCCAGCACCTCCGACACAAACACCCTCTGTGGGGCCCATGCGAGGCAGAGAGTGCTCAGGCGACTCACTGCGTTCAACACTCAGTCTGTATAGACTAGGCACCCACCTCTCTGATCTTGTCATAGTAGGAGAGGCGGATCTCCCTCTCCAGCACCTCTGATACAAACACTCTCTGTGGGGCCCACTCCGGCTGCCGTGCCACTGCTGCCCACGCCGCCCACGGCCACACAAACGCAAAGTTGGACCTGGGCGGGCGGGCGGCACACAGGACAAGAAACAACAACGATTGTGCGGCGGCATCACTCAAAAGAAGTTGGACATGGGCGGATTTCACACACGATAAGAACCATTTCTGAGGCGGCTCAAGGCAAACTAGGCCTGGGAGTGCGCAGGGCGGCATACAGGACAAGGTAAACAGTGTGCAAAAAGAACCATGCAGAGGTGGGTGGGTGCTTCATGTCAGGTTGACTTGACTTTACTATCAAAGTTACCAGTTACGAGGAGCCGTAACAGCATGATGGACAGAACCTTTAGGTCACCTTGGGGCGCCAGTGGGGGATAGAAACGTGGAGAAGGACTCACAGGTGGTGGGCCAACCACTGGATGACACGTGTCCTGCACTCCACGTCCATGATTGCCGCCCGGGAGAACAACGCCCTCACTGCCCCTGCCAGCACTGCTGGGAAGGCGCCGGGAAGAGCCTGAGAGAGGGAACAAAGATAGGGGCATGGGAGGAATGGGTTGGGGAGTGGGGGAGTGGGGACGGAATGAGAGAGCCAAGGGTTGCAATGGAGGGAGGACAGTTCAGCTGCGGAAAAGGAACAAGCAGCGCCCCCGCCCGAACTGCTGGGAAGGTGCCGGGGAGAGCCTGAGAAGGTTGAGCCTTGAAGACACACAACACGATCAGCATGCCAGCTGTCTTGCAGAGGTCCAACCGAGTCAACGCACTTTGCAGCGGTCAACCGAGTCAACGCACCTTGCAGAGGTCAACCGAGTCAACGCACCTTGCAGAGGTCAACCGAGTCAACGCACCTTGCAGAGGTCAACCGAGTCAACGCACCTTGCAGAGGTCAACCAAGTCAACGCACCTTGCAGAGAGGTCAACCAAGTCAACGCACCTTGCAGAGATCAACGCACCTTGCAGAGGTCAACGAGGACGATTGTGTAGTAGATGGGGCGGAAGGGTGACCGGGGAAGCAGCAGCAACTGAACAAGGGAAGAAGGGAAAGAAAAGTAGGAGGAGATCGGTAGAGAGAGGTGAAAAGAGGTGGCAATAGGTGGAGAGACAGCGAGCTGGAGGGTTTGAGTGTGTGGAATAGGAAGAGGAGTGGTGGAGAGATGTTGCAGGTGTGATGGCAAAGGATGTGGAGGAGAGGTGCTGCATGGCAGTCTGCGTGTCCAGCGCCTGGGTGGAGAGATAACTCTTTTTCTACCTGAAAGACTCTCAGTGTTTTCCACCTGGATGGAGACATGTCTCTGTTTTTTGCACCTGGATGACAACATGTCTCTGTGGTTTTCACCTGGGAGAAGACGGTTTCCGCCATGACGTATTCGTAGCGGAACGGCACAGGCAGGCCCACCAGGTAGCTCGCACACTCCTTGCGACTGGTGTGAGGGGAGGTGGTGGGGGATGGTGAGGGTAAAGAAGGTGGTGGGAACAGGAGCACAATGATGAGATGAGCACAACAATGAACAGGAGCATCTCATAGCAGGCCCACCAGGTAGCTCGCACACTCCTTGCGACTGGTGGGGAGAGGGTGGTGGGTGGGGATGGTAAGGGTGGAAGGACAAAGCAATAAGATGAGAACAAAACTATGGAAGGTAGGAAGGTAGCAAGACCGCTAGATAGTTCGCACATTTCTTGCGACTTGTGTGGATGGTGGGGGTAGTGGTGGTGGTGGGAGCAGCAAAGCAACTAGGCGAGATGAGATGAGGTAGCAGCCAAGTAGGCCCAACAAGGCATCTTACAGCAGGCCCAACAAGGCATCTTACAGCAGGCCCAACAAGGCATCTTACAGCAGGCCCAACAAGGCATCTTACAGCAGGCCCAACAAGGCATCTTACAGCAGGCCCAACAAGGCATCTTACAGCAGGCCCAACAAGGCATCTTACAGCAGGCCCAACAAGGCATCTTACAGCAGGCCCACCAGGTACCTCGCAGACTCGTACCTCTCACTAAAAGAGCACGTCCAGGAGATACTCCTGTACCACAATGCGGTCTTTTCTACAGCTGCTCGCACTAGGAGCACAACCCACTCTTCACTGCACGAGCATGTCACCTACCACTCACCCACACGCACCCACCTGCCGTTCATGTAGAAGAGCACGTCCAGCAGATACTCCTGCACCACACAGCATTCAACTGCTGTGGCACACAACCCAACCCTGCGCTTTCATTGCGTGAGTGAGCATGCGCCGCACCCACCTGCCCTTCATGTAGAAGAGCACGTCCAGCAGATACTCCTGCACCACAATGGAACCTAGTGGTCGATCGCTAGGCACACAACCCCGCCATTCAGTGCATGAGCATGTGCCTCGCACCCACCTGCCGTTCATGTAGAAGAGCACGTCCAGCAGATACTCCTGCACCACAAATCGGTCGATGGGTGACATTGTCTGGTGGGGGGGGAGGAGGGAGAGAGGGGCACGTTACAAGGAAATGTTACTGACACCGTCAAACGAGTCAAGTTTGTCCCAGCCTCTTACCCCGCCTTCACACAATCTTACCAGTCAACGTGGGTGGGATGCTCAAAATGTGTGATGCTACATTACCGCAGGGTATAGGAGAGAGGAAAGGCGAGGAAGAGAGAGGAAAGGCGAGGAAGAGAGAGGAAAGGCGAGGAAGAGAGAGGAAAGGCGAGGAAGAGAGAGGAAAGGCGAGGAAGAGAGAGGAAAGGCGAGGAAGAGAGAGGAAAGGCGAGGAAGAGAGAGGAAAGGCGAGGAAGAGAGAGGAAAGGCGAGGAAGAGAGAGGAAAGGCGAGGAAGAGAGAGGAAAGGCGAAGAAGAGTGCTCACAGCGTCGGTCTTGGCTGGCGGAAACAGCTTCAGACGCCCAATCCGGGGCGAGAACTGTTGCAGCGCCTCGAAGCGCTGCCGGGCGGCGGCTCTTGTCTGCTTGTGCTCGTCGTCGCCCTCGTCCATGTCAGCATCAGTGTCGAGTTGGGCGGCAGCAGGGGGCGGCAGCGGCGGAGTGAAGAGGCCGATGGGGTGGCACATGGAAGAGGAGAGCCTTTCCTTCACTGCCACGTGGGGGCGAGGCACTGCAAAAGGAGAAGTGGGGATGGGGAGTCAGGAAGGGGGAAGGGGGAAAGGAGGGTGCAGATGGTGCAGAGGGTGCGGGGGTGGCGCATGGAGGAGGAGAGCCTTTCCTTCACTGCCACGTGGGGGCGAGGGACTGGAAGAGCGGGAAAAGGAGAGGAGGGGGTTGGGAAAAGGGGTAGGGGAAAATGGAGGAGGGGTGCAGTGCAGTGGTTGAGGGGGTGGCGCATGGATGAGAGCCTTTCCTTCACTGCCACGTGGGGGTGGGGCACTGTGAGAGGAGAAGGGGAAGCGGGAAGGGGTACGGAGGAAGAGTTAAGGGGAGGAGAAAGGAGGGTGCTAGGGGGGTGAGAGGGTGGTGTATGGTATAGAAGAGAAGAGCCTATCCTTCACTGCCACGTGGGGGCGAGAGTTACTGTGAGCGTGGGAAAAAGGCAGGGGGGAGTGGGAAAGGGGAAGGGGAAATGGGAACAGAGGGTACAGAGGGTGCAGAGAGGGTCGCGTAGCCGCAAGGTATGGATGAAGAGAGCCTATCCTTCACTGCCACGTGGGGGGGCTAGGCACTGTGAGTTCGGGAAAAGGAGAGAGGGGAGTCAAGAACGGGGAAACGGGAAAGGAGGGTGCAGTGAAGAGAGTGAGAGGGTGGCGCATGGCGCATGGAAGAGGAGAGCCTTTCCATGGCTGCCATGCCACGTTGTTTTTATAAAAAACACGCTGTTCTTGAGACGTCTCAAAAGCACACTTTTACCACGTGACTGCCACATTGACATCACTAATGAGAATTTTCAGGAGAGGGGGGCAAGACGATGATTGGCTTTTGTGCACACGCGCAGCTACTCCATACCAGGCATGGCATAATGGATCATTAGCTATTTGGGGCTACTCACTCGAACAAGAGACGACATTTGAGGCGCCTCAAAAGTGCATGCATGCAGATACTCCGTAGCAGGCATGGCATGGCATACGGGGTCATTAGCGAAAACAAGGGCGCTCTGAGTTGGCGTACCACTTTCCGCCTTCCAGGAATCTTCCTTGCATGCCTTGATGCGATCCCACAGCTCCTCCAGATAGTCCTGCAAAAGCGCACAGGCAAGCGCAGAGCAGAGGGACACAGGCAAGCGCAGAGCAGAGGGACACAGGCAAGCGCAGAGCAGAGGGACACAGGCAAGCGCAGAGCAGAGGGACACAGGCAAGCGCAGAGCAGAGGGACACAGGCAAGCGCAGAGCAGAGGGACACAGGCAAGCGCAGAGCAGAGGGACACAGGCAAGCGCAGAGCAGAGGGACACAGGCAAGCGCAGAACAGAGGGACACAGGCAAGCGCAGCAGAGAAGAGCGTGAAGGCACAGAGAGCAGCATGCACATGGTTACTTCGCACTAATGACGGAAAGAAAAGGGGGAGAGACAGGCAAAGTCAAGGGCAAAGAATGGGTTGCAGGGGCCGGCAGAGTGGGGGTGGGAGAGAGACGGGCATTCAAGTTGATTGATTTAAGCACCCTTTCTTGGCACTTTCCTTGAGCAACAGAACCCACCTGTGGCGGTGTGGTGTCGGTGGGCTGAGGCTCGAAGACCGCGAGTGCGGGGAAGACGAGCGGCGAGCGGGCTTCCATGTAGCCCTGCACTGCCGCCAGCAGACTGGCTAGCTCGTCCGGATGCGACTGGGGGGGAGAAGGGTTGAGAGATTCCATACACGGTGATAGTGGAGGGGGGAGGGAAAGAGGCAATAGGCAAAGGGAAGGCAGGCAATCACACAAACGGGAGGACACGAGGCAAGAGGGAAGAGGCAATGGGCAAAAGACCATATACACGCACCTCCTGCCAGTCTTGAGCGGCAAAGGGAAGGCAGGCAAGCACACAAAAGACAAAGAAGTCCGCCCGAGGCTGCCAGTTGGGATTCCCGCCAGCTGTCGGGTCGAGGTGCGAGGTGGCGGTGTCGACCAGAAGAGACAAAACTTGCAACACCTCAGACTCTGGCACTACTGCTGCCACAGACTGAGGGAAACGGGAGAGAGGGAAATGAGAGAGAGGGAAAGAGGGGACAGGAATAAAGAAGAGGAGAGATAGACGGAAAGGAATATATGTTATACGACGAACAGGGATGGAAGCAGAGCAGGCGTGTGTGAATGAAGATGGAAAAGGGTCAAGAAAGGGTGGAGAGAGGCAGAGCTGGCAGCAGCATGCTTAACTTTGGTAGCAAGGTGACTTGTGAGTCGACTCGAAAGACTTTTGAGTCGACTCGAAAAGGTGGAGAGACGCAGAGCTTGCAGCAGCATGCTTACCTTTGGTAGCAAGCAAGGCAGCACGAACTGCTACCAGTGGTGCAAGCAAGGCAGCACGAACTGCTACCAGTGGTGCAAGCAAGGCAGCACGAACTGCTACCAGTGGTGCAAGCAAGGCAGCACGAACTGCTACCAGTGGTGCAAGCAAGGCAGCACGAACTGCTACCAGTGGTGCAAGCAAGGCAGCACGAACTGCTACCAGTGGTGCAAGCAAGGCAGCACGAACTGCTACCAGTGGTGCAAGCAAGGCAGCACGAACTGCTACCAGTGGTGCAAGCAAGGCAGCACGAACTGCTACCAGTGGTGCAAGCAAGCAGGTGCAACAAAAAAAAAAGGGTGAAGGGAGGGGGTTCATACCAGCAGCGCGAGAAGGCGCAGCAGAATGCGCATCTTGTGGCACTCTCCGGCTTTTGAGAAGTGCAACGGAGGAATAATACCAGCAGCACGTAGGTGCAGCAGCATCGGAGAGGGGAGGTGGGGGGGTTGGGGGGGCATACCAGCAGCGCGAGAAGGCGCAGCAGAATGCGCATCTTGTGGCACTCTCCGGCTTTTGAGAAGTGCAACGGAGGAATAATACCAGCAGCACGTAGGTGCAGCAGCATCGGCGAGGGGAGGTGGGGGGGTTGGGGGGGCATACCAGCAGCGCGAGAAGGCGCAGCAGAATGCGCATCTTGTTGCACTCTCCAGTTTCAAAGGCCGCCTGCATGATGGCAGGCACACAGCACCAGGGAGAGACAGGCGAGAGGGGGATCGGGGTCAAGAAGGTGCACTTGCAATTAAGGTGAGAGGGGTGGGGACTGGGCATGGAACATGAGGCTAAGAGAAATCGCACGTGATGAGTCTGTCGACTCAAAAATGGGCGGGGACTGAGTGTGGGACACGAGGCCAAGAGAAATTGTGGCAAGTACAACACACACATAGACAGTGTGGTTGCACGATGTATCTGCTGTGCTGTTTTAGCATTTGGCACACGCGGTTAGAGGGAAGACAGCTTGGGCGCAGAATGCATACACCCACGCAAGGCACCCCACAGCACGCTGCACATAGCGTGTATTACACATTAGATCTCGAAAGTCAGCACATTACGAAGCACACAGCACCAAGAAGCACTGCACACAACCCACCTGCAAGCCTGCCATCACATGCTCCACCACAGACGCCCCAAACTCCTCATAGTCCACATTTAGTAGCGACACCTGTGGGGGGGTTGAGTGGGGGGAGAGCGGGATGTATGAGCAAGGAAAAAGGGAGGGCTGCATTTAGGGAAGATGGCCGAACGAAAAGTGGACGGAGGGAGAGGGGAGAGCGGGAAATGGAAGGATGGAGGAAGTAGAAGGGGAAAGAGCACGAAAGGTTTTGCAATCAGCAATGTGTGAGGAGGAGTCGCAGGCATTGGTGGGCCTTTGAAATAAAGGGAGACAGAATGGTCCTCTTATGCGAAGAGCTGAGGAGGAGAAGGACGAGGAGAGCAAGGATTTGAAGTGGAATGGAAGGGCGAGCAGCGGGGGGGTGAGGGGCGGAGGATTCGAGGAGGGGGAGGAGGGAGGAAAGAATTTGGGGAGGGTAAGAGGAGAGGAGGTACCAGAGTGGTGTAGAACGGTGCCTTTTGGGGAAGGTCCTCTGCACACTGCATTAGGAGCTGCATTGGGGTGAGGTGCACGGGGTGGGGAGCATGGGATGGGACGCGCAAGGCGGATGGGTGAGGTCATGCATTCTGCAAGGTTCTAGGCCGGTGAAGGGTGCCTTTTGGGGAAGGTCCTCTGCACACTGCATTAGGAGCTGCATTGGGGTGGGAGGCGCGTGGGGTGGGTGGGGCGGGGCGGAGCATGGGGTGAGGTGAGAATAAGTGTTGAGCAAACAAAACAGGTCATGGGGACGGAATGGGACTGGGATGGGACGAACGGGATGAGTGCAAGTTTGAGCCGACTCCAAAGTCATCTCGGGTGGGAAGGGAACAACAGGTGGCCAAACCAGCAGCAATCGCTTCTGGTTGCATGGAAGATGCTGGTGAGGCATGGCATGACATGGCATGGCATGACATGGCATGGCATGCCACAGCATATGATATGACATGGCATGGCATGGCACAGCATTTGACATGGCATGTACAAATGATAAATAAGATCAAACTGCTCATCTCATCAACCATGGCATGTCTCACCGGCAGCAGCTCGCCCTTGAGGGCGTCAAAGTTGCGGCTCACCACCGTCAGACACAGGTCCTGGTGGTGGGTGGGTGACGCGGAGGGGTGGGAGAGGACACAGAGAGGGAGGGAACGGAGTGGAAGAAAGGGGAGTGGGGGGAGGTTAGGGAAGTAAGCATGTGGCCATGACAGCTCGCATTTGAGGGCGTCGAAGTTGCGACTGACCACCGTCAGACACAGGTCCTGGTGGTGTGGTGGAGAAGGATCGGAGGGACGGGAGGGACGGGACGGAGGAAAGGGAGAAAGGGGGAGCGGAGTGGGCCCCGTTATAGCCTTCCCGTCAGCTGTCGAATTCACTAACCCACATGTTATTCTCACTATCCTGAAACGCCCTCCCCACCCCTTCTCCCTCCTAATCCCCGCCCCCAAATCCCCATTCTTCCCCCACCCCTTCTCCCTCCCAATCCCCGCCTCCAAATCCCCTCCCCTCCCACCCCTTCTTCCATCCCCCCCAACCCTACCATCTGTTAAATGGGTCCATGCGCCCATCGAACTCCATGCACCTCTGAGACGTCTTAAAAATGACACATCCCTCAACCCCACCCCCCTCCTTCATCTCCCCACCCACACCACACGTCATCCGCTCTCTTCCTTCCCACGCGTACCATCTGCTCGATGGGGTCCATGCGCCCATCAAACTCCATGCATCGCTCGCCCAGCCGCAGCACCAGCACGCGCCAACTGCCAGTTGCCATGCCATGCCATGGGACAACACATGTTGGGCACACGGTAAGCAGGGACACGCGAAACGGGAAATGGGGATAACGGGGAATGGAGGCGATTGAGGGGGGACAGAGGGAAGCGAAGGGCGAAGGACGAAAGAAAGGCGGAGAGAGAGGCGGGAGGGGGAGGAGATGCGAATGAAAGTATAAGAACAGACATGCTGCAGACAGAGCCCTTGGAGTTCCATGGGTTTAATGGGATTCAGCGGGTTCTATGGGGTTGAATTGGGTTGAATTGAATGGAGGTCACTCGCAGGCATGAATCAAGAGTTCAGCAGTAGTCCCGATAATAGAACAGAGAGCCGGAGCCTGGGTTGCGACTTGTGGGGACTCGGCAACTTCTAAGCAGTCGCCATCCCATCAGTCATCACTTCACTGGGCTCCGGACAACACAAGACATCAAAAGTCGTACCCTCACACTCACTCACACACGCACGACTTTAGAGTCGAATCAAAAGGCAACCCTTCATCACTTCACTAGGCTCAGGATGACACAAGTCATCGAGAGTCGTACCCTCGCTCACACACACACTCACCTGGAGCCAACCTCAAATGCCGCTTCATCCTTGCGGACTGTGGGCCCGCGGTTGTCTGGTAAGGGGGATGGGGGGACGGTGGCGAGGGGAGGAGGGAAGAGGATGATGAGGATGATGGAGTGGAGAGGAGGGGAGCGGGGACAAGAGACGCGGAGAGGATTGGAGAGAGGGGGGGGAGTGGGGGAGAGGAGAGGAATGGCAATCTGGTGGGAGTAAGGATAAACAGCAAGGTGCTCTAGGGGGGATTTAAACAATTTGCTTTGCAGCACGTTTAGGCACCTGTAGCGCATGTGTGTACAGTAGAACGTAATTTGTGTGATGCTAAAGCGAAACATCATATCGACACGAACGAGCACATGTCTGTCGCAGAGCAACACAGTCGCACGCCCAGCCTGTCGCACAGCAGGTCCGTCGCACAACGTGCCTGAGGTGACTCTCTGTCGCTTGTTGCTGCGATCGCTCTCTAGCGCCATCCTCCCTTCCCGACTCGCGCTGCTCCACTGTCAGAGTCTCCCTGCAGGTCAACCCTGCTGACTCTCCGAGTTGACTTTTGAGTCAACTCAAAAGTCTCCTCCCTTCCCGACTCGCGCTGCTCCACTGTCAGAGTTTCCCTGCAGTATAACTCCGCGACCCGGTTAGATGGCTATGATAAATGCAGCCGTATCGCGACAGCTAGCTTAGTACCGTGAAATGGGCGTTGGGCAGCTGATCTAACGCCCAAAAGACCCGATACGATCGGATCACTTACTCCTTCGCTTTGCTGCAAACTATACTGCAAACGCAGGTCGATTGAATATCACGGGGGGCTTGTTTCGGGAGACACTAATGCATGACCTCCCGACAATCTTATGCCTAGAGCAAGAGCCCTGAGGAATCGGTCAAAATTGTTTCGAGAATTCTCGAAAAGGAAAAATTGCTGGCAACCCTGGTCGCTCCTCAGCGTGCGGTTCTTCGAGGCAACACACTGACGGATCCGCTAGCTCAACGGTTCCGCGGAGCGCGGAAGCTCCTATGACCTGGCGGAAGGCTTTTGACATGAACTGCACTAGTCACGACTACGGAAAGGGCTGCTGCTGCTTGTTTGCAGAGACATGCTTCGCCGCATTCATCATGAGACCTAGCTGCGTTACGAGACAACTCGCTTGTGAACATTTCCGTCTGCTAAGGTTTCTCTGGTAGGGTTTCTGCATTCTTTACCTTACTCGTATATATTAAGCAATGATTAAACAACTTTTGATTGGTTCTGAGATATGGATCAATCAGATAATAAAAAATGGGCAAATAATACCCCCCTCGTAATACCCCCCTGCTGCTTGTTTGCAGAGACATGCCTCTCTGCATTCATGATGAGACCTAGCATATGGAACCAGCTGACCTTAATTTCACCATCCAGGGAGAATTGCTACGACATATTTTAGCATCACGTTTTAACACATTCACCTGTCTTGAGGCACCCAACTTCCTCAACAAGGCTTCAAAAGTCTAAGGACATGATGCCAAGCACATTGAGTCGATGGCTAGCCTCCGCCATAGAAGAAACTTCAGAAGGTATAGCTGCACAGCTGACAGCTAGCTCTGCAAAGCTGCACGCAAGAATGAAAGAAATTGAGTCCGTATAGAAATAAAGCAAACTGATAAGTGCTAGAGAACTATTGGAAGGGAAGGTATACGACAGTACAATTCACCGCGCATAGCCGGCCATACCTTAACATGGTGGAGGGTGCACGCTTGATTGCGAGGGAAGGATCAGCTACACTCAGCAAACGCGTTTGCTCCATGCACTCGCATGCAAACTTGACCTGCAGGCATGCATGCGTACATTCAATAGTTAGTCATGCGCACAACAGAACCATGCATACAAATAGCACGCATGTATTTCCAGTGCGATAAATCCACAAGTTGCTGGCAAAGCCGCCATGCTCTTGGAGGGCTACACTAGCAGGGCATGCATGTGATGCATGCAAGTGCATGCATGTGCATATGAGACGGCATGCACATACATGCAAACACTGATGCGGGGCTGATGCAAATGCATGTATGTGCCAGAAAAACTACAAATGTGCAAAAAATCACTGTTCATGGTAAATGTGATATCCCTTGGAAGACGGGACTGATCTCAGCTGTCGTTACTCACTGCAGCCAGCAGCCGCTGTGCATCGGACGAAAGGGCAGCAAAGGTGGGGGAAGAGGACGAGGCGGAAGGTGGTGATGATGATGGTGATGAGAGGAAGGGGTCGCGGCCGGTGAGCAGATGAAGGAGAATGAGACCAAAGCTGTGGATGTCCGATGCTATGTGCTCCGCCACGTCAGCTGCCGTGTCATCAGATGAATTTCCATGCAATGCCCTGTGGGCATGGAGAGGGAAAATGTAGACAAAGGGATGAGAAGGCACTCCCTCCAGGCTATCCCATCCTCTCCGCCAACTGCTGCTGCTGCACCTAACCCTGCCATCCACCAGTCAACCCCTCTGTTTCCTCTCTGTGTACCCCACCCACATGCCTCTCATCCTTGCCGGCAACTTCTGAAATGCTGCACCCAACCACGCAGCTTCCTCCTATTCTCACCTGCAGTGCCGCAGTCTTCTCAGCCTGGCAGCAGCAGAAGCCACCGACGTGCAGCTTCTCCCACTTCTCACCTTCCTGGCAGCTTCCTCCGATTCTCACTTTTCTTCCCCCAGTTCTCACCTGCGGTGCCCCAGCCTTCTCAGCCTGGCAGCAGCAAAGCCCCCGACACGTGGCTTGAGGTCCGCCCCAAACGCCACGTGGCGTGAGGAGAGCGCGCCATGTGGCAGCGGGGGATCGCACGAGTGGGCGAATGTGAGAGCTCGGGCTACCAACCGTGCCACCTGTACCCTTGCAGGCCAGTCCAGCAGAGGAGGGGAGGAGGCTGGAGAACAAGCGGGGGCGGTGGGGAAAGAGGGAGAAAGGAAAAATGGGGAAGGCAAATTGCATGTGAGTTATTAGGGCGTAGGCGATTACATGATTGGGCAAATCTGGGCGCTCGGGCTACAGACCGTGCCACCTGTACCCATGCAGGCCAGTCCAGTAGAGGGGGGAAGGAGGCTGGGTGCAGGGCAGGGTTGCAAGGAAGAGGGAGTAAGGAGCATTGAGACGATTAGGAGTGGGGAGTCGCACGAGTGGGCGAATGCGAGAAGTCAGGCTTTCGATATGCAACGTGCACCGTTTCAGGCCATTCGAGCAGTGGGGGGGAGGAAGGGGGAATTGGTGGAAGGGGGAAACGGGGATGATTAATGGTTTGGCTCGATGCACTCGTAGCACTCGCGCGCTCGCAAAAACAGAACGAACCAAGTGGGAGGGAGGCAGGGAAGCGGAAAAACGAGAGACAGCCAGCCGATGTGGCGAACCTGGCCGACACAAGTGAAACACCTGAAGAAACACCTGAAGGAACACTTGAAAGAAAGGCTGAAGGATCACAAAACAATCGCCTGAAGTCCAGCTGAAGAAACACATCAGACGAACCTTTGAGCCACTGGAGCAGAGTCCCCTGCGACATGTGGGCTGTGGCTACCAGACAGATGTTGCCGGCCAGCAGCTTGTAGCCATGAGTGTCGACGATGTGTGGGTGGGAGAGGTGGGAGAGCAGACCCATGTGCTGTGAGATGTGGGCAGGAGAGAGCTGGGAAAGGGGGGAAATATGGAGAGGGAGGAAAGGAGGAAGGAGAGTTTTGAGACGTCGCAAGAGTCGGAGAGGTGGGAGGGCAGACGCATGTGCTGTGGGATTAGGGCAGGGGAGAGCTGGGACAGGGGGAAAGCCGGGAGGAGGAGGGGCACGCGGGGGGAGAGGGAGAGGGGGGAAACGAAAGGGGGGTTGGGAGTACACATGAGAAAGAGACGGAGTGAAGACGGAGAATAGCTTAAGTAACATTCATGCTCACCCTGTTACATTAATGCTCATGTAAGTTTTTTCTGTCTCAAACAGACTCTTTCCCTCACCCCGTCCCTCCCATCCCCAGCTTACCTGCCCGATCACCACTCGCTCCACATCCACAGTCTCCCCCGATGGCAGCACGGCAGTAGTGATGGCAGTGGCTGCAACTGCTGCTGACTGTGCACCTAACCCACTCCCGTCCACCGCCTCAGAGTGCATGCCTCGCTGCTTCTTCCTTATCTGCTCAGTATCAGCAAGTGATGACCCGTCCTGGCCCCTTGGCTCGGCCGCACCCCTTGGCTCGGCCAACCCTTTTAGCTCTAATGCACCATTTGGCTTGACCTGGCCACTTAAGATTTCTGCAGGTAACTCAGTAGCAGCAGGCAAAGGGGCCAAGGATGGGTGTTGTGGCACTTGGTTTGAATGATGCACGTGGCTTCTCCCTCGCCTTTGCTGCTGTGTGATGCACCTCTCCTGCTGCTGCTCCTGCCACAAACGCTGCTGAGACTGTGGATGCGGCATGTGCTGCTGCTGCTGCTGCTGCTGCTGCTGCTGCTGCTGCTGCTGCTGCTGTAGTTGTCGCTGCTCCTCCTTCTCCTGCAAGCTAGCCTGTGCTGCCAGCCATCCCATGTGCTGCTCAACAGAAGGAAGCACTGCACTCGCTGCACCACTCCCCCTTCTACCCATGCCACTACTCTCGCGCATGCCCCTGCCCGTGCCCATGTCCATGCCCGTTCCCCTTTCCACGCCTGAACTCATCAGTTCAGCCGAGCCCATCCCTGTGCCGACGCTGCTTGCAAGCGCCTCCTCACACTGCTCCTCCACTGCTCTGTGCTGCTCTGCCACCAACTGCCTCCCCTCATTTATTCTCATGCCGCTGCCCAGACCTGAGCTCATCTGTTCAGCCGAGTGCATCACTGTGCGCATGCTGCTAGCAACAACGTCCTCACGCTGCTCCTCCACTGCTCTGTGCTGCTCTGCCACCAACTGCCTCCTCATCTCCTCCCTGCTCTGGTTATGGCGCTGCTGTTGCTGTAGCTGTTGCTGTTGCTGAAAGGTTGACATGGGCTGCTGAAGGGGTGGCAGGTTTTGCTGAAGGGACGGCATGTGCTGCTGCTGCTCCTGGTGCATCTGCTTGTGGGCCGGGATGCTCTGTTGCTGACTTGTACCCAAGTGCGCCCTATCCTCAGGCTGCTGCGCCCTCCCTCCGGCCTGCTGCTGCACCTTCTCTTCAGAACGCTCTTGCTGCTCTTGTTTCTTGACGTGCCAAGGCCTATCCGGGCCCTGCCTCTCCCTCTCCACTTTGCTCCGCCCCTCTCTCCCACCCCGCCTCGTCTTCCTCCTCGCCTCCCTGTCCTGCTGCCCTTTCCCACGCGCTCCAACATTACCCCCCAGATTGCGCCTCTCAACTTTCTCATAGCCGCTTCCCTTTCCCCACTCACCCACCCACACACTCTCCTCGTCCCCTCTCTTTCTCGCCCCACGCACCCCCCCACACAAGCCCCCCCACACGTCTCCACAGCAGCCCACTGCAGCGAAGAGCAGCAGCAGTATGAGCCCTATTGCTAGCACGCCGCCCACCGCCGCGCCTGTGATGGCCAGCTGTTGGCCGCTCATTGGCTGTGGGGGTGGGGCTGGAATGTGGAGGGGGTATAGAAGGGAGAGAGACAGTATGAGAACCTCACACAGCCCCCCACACACGTCACCGCAGCACCCCACGGCAGCGAAGAGCAGCAGCAGTACGAGCCCTATTGCTAGCACGCCCCCCACTGCCACCGCTTGATAGCCAGCTGTTGCATGCTCATTGGCTGAGGAGATGAGGCTGGGATGTGAGATTGGAGAAAGGGGAGGAGAGGGGAGAAGAGGGAGATGAGGGGACAAGGGGGAGATGAGGAGAGAGGAGGGTGAGGACGGGACAAGGTAAGCAGGGGAGAAGGCAGGGAGGCGGAGAGAAGGGGACAGCGCAGTAAAGCTTCAGACAGGAAAGGCGAAAGGTTAACTGGAAGTTCCTGTTCCAAAAAGTTACTCTGGTTGGCAACGGTTAGATCTTATAAGAAATAAGAAAAGCCAGCTTGAGTTCGTTCTTACCAGCAACCAGGGCGGCAGCCAGCTCGTCTGATTGGTCCGATGGGCTTGAAGCAGAAGCAGGGGAGGCAGGGGGGATTGGTGTGGCAGAGGAGTTGGGAGAATGGGGAGAGGGGCTGACGCCTGGTGCACCAATGGCAGCAGCAGCAGCAGTGGCTGCAGCAGGGGACAGGTCTGGTGAAGAGACGCTGGAGCTTTGGGCTGGTGGACGTGGTGGCGTTGGTGGGACCACCTGGGACCCAGGTGCATCTGGGTCTGCCTGCCTGCTTGGATCACCTGCATGTGGATTGGGGTCCATGCAGGCAGGCAGACAGGCAGAAAAGCAGGCACGAAGATGGGAAGAAGAGAACAAGAGAGGGACACACAAGAACGGGCGGCTTGGAATAAGAAAGGGAGGGAGGGCGGGCACAGTATACACGAATCAGAGCATTCCTGGTTTGTAGTTCATGATTTTTGGGGCCGAATATTGTTGCGTAACATATTGAACGAAACAGGACAAACAGAAGGCAAGAGGACATCTTACAGAATGCGGGGTAGTGAAATGAAGTCAACCTACCAGGAGTGCAAGTGCAGGGGCCGAAGGAGCCTGTAACAAGGCACACTTGCAACCCTGGGATGGCAACGACCGGAGCAGGCAACGAGGGGGCAGGTTCACTCGCAGCAACGAGTCTAATGGTGGCGGAGGGGATTCCTGGAGAAGCACCAGCGGTGGGTGTAGCGGCAGCAGGAGAGGAACGTCCAGCAGCGGCAACAGGGGCAGAAGGGGCAGCGGCAGTGGCAGCAGACGCAGCAGGAGCAGCGGCAGCGGTGGCAGGAGTAGCAGTGGTGGCAGCGGCGGTAACAGTAGAGGATTGGTTGCGCTGTGGTGTTGTAGTGGGTGGGTCTGGTTGTGAGAGGCACACACACGGCTGCTGCTGGCCTGCGAATAAGCAGCGCTGGGAGGGGGGAGAGGAAGCAGAGGAGGGAGAGGAGGAGGAGGAGGGCGAGGAGGAGGGAGAGGAGGAAGGGGAGGAGGAAGAGGAAGAAGCAGGGAATGGAGGGGGAGAGGGCGAGGAATTGTTTAAGGATGCTGGGGATGAAGTGCGTGAAAGGGGTGGGGGAGAAGGAGGGGAGGGGGAAGAGGGGGAGTTTGGCGGAAAAGGAGCGGAGGAGCTTGGCAGAGAGGGAGGAGAAGGGGAGGAAGAGGGGGTAAACGGGAGAGTTGGAGTGAGGGATGGGGGAGAGGGTAAGGGAGGGGAGGGCGTGGAGGAGGCTGGTGGTTCAGAGGAGGTGGAAAACTGGAAGGGTAGGGAGAAGCTGAAGGGGGGAGACACAGGGACCGGAGGGAGGGGAATGGGGCCGCTGGGGAGAGTGGGAAAAGTACTGGACTGCAGTTGAGATGCGGGGAGATCAGCTGCTGTAACAGGCGCGAATGATGAGGGTGAAGAGGATGCAAGTTGTTGAGTGGTTGACACAGGAGGGGGGAACAGAGACGCCTGTGTAGCTGTCGTGGCTGTTGTCCCTGATGTCACCTCTCCACTCCCCCCTCCTCCTGCTCCTGCAAATCCGTTCCCCCCTGCTGCCTCCCCTCCTGATCCTTGTAAAGGCTGTGCTGCTGCTGACGTGGCTGGAAGCACTGATGATGACGTGGAGGGAGCTAGATTCGGGAGGTTGGATGGAAGGGTCGACGAGAGACTGGGGGCACCAGAGGAGGAAGGAAAGAAGAAGGGGAAAGGAAACGGCTGAGCTGCACACAGCGAAGAAAATTGGCACATAAAGAAACAGGACGATTCGGTTGTGTGAAGGAAACCAATACTTGATCCCGTCAATCAACCCTCGAATCCAAACAATAAGAGAATGAAAAAAATAAAAAAAAGAATCAACTCATTCTCTGAATCAATCGAATCAATCCGCCTTCGGATCCAATCAGATCACTCCATCCTGTTCAATCAGATCTTTCCACCCTCACATCCAATCGAATTAGCCCACTCTCGAATCGGCCACATGATCCTCCATACCTTGTGAGCGTGCAGGCAGCAGGAGAAGCAGCAGCAGCAGCAGCAGCATTGTCGCTGACCAGAGAGACAGGATACAGCTGGAAGCAGTGTGAGTTCTCAACCGCATCGCACCACTCATCACACCACCGCTGTTCCTGTCCACACCCCTCGACGAAAACGCCATGTGTAGTTGAAGGGTGACGGCTGCAGCCTGCCTAATAGCAGCCGCGTAGCAGCCAGCCATCAGGCAAAAAGGCAGCAGCTGCAGCAGCAGGCAGCAGCAGGCAGGAGCTGAGCTACAGCAGCATATACGCCTCAAGCTACTAGCTTGTTGCTCAATAGCAGTCTCCCAACACTGCCTGCCAAACAGCAGCCTACCAGCAGCAGCATATCTGCTTCAAGCTACTAGCACGCGAATCGGGTGCTCCTTCTCCCTGTTGAAACTCAAGGACCGCATTTCCTTCCCCAGTTAAGCTCACTCGTGGTAGGAGAAACTTGCTATGCTGCTCGGTCAGCGTTCTTTTTTGGCTGGGGCGCTGGGGAACTTGCTGGTTCAGGCAGTGAATTAGATAGCAAAAGCTGGCGGCCGCGTTGATAGCACGTACGCTTGTGTCACTGATGCTGACGACTCGCTTGCAAGTAGTGGTTGAAGCGGGTTCAAGAGTCAGCAGCTTGGAGACCGAGGAGCTCGCTCATTCCACCCGCTCAAAAGCTGCTTGTGAAACCAACTGCCCTCGTCTGAGACAGTGTCCCCTAAGGCAAACTAGGGCCTTGAGCAAGGCAGACACACGGAAGGCGAGCAACGGGCTTCTGGCCCAGGAACGCGCAGGGAGGACGTGGAAACTACGCTAGCAACGGTGGGAACTAGGTACCACAATGGAGCGGCGTTGAACGGAACGCACTACCGTGAAGGCTCCGGCGGTACTCTGATCCCCATGGAGCAGCGTTGGACGCGATCCGGTGGCCCTGGTCCTTGGACCAACGTGGCTGCTGCATGTGCATCGACCGAGTCACCCCCGAGCACCGCTGCTAGCGCGGCCCGACGGCGGGATGATCGGTCGCAGGCGGAAACGCCGCGAGAGGCATCGTTTGAGGCAGGGAGGTGGTAGGAGCAACGCTAACAGGGCGCGGCGACATGCTGGATGGTGCTGAACGGTGCTGGACAAGGTTCTGAGACCGGCGAAGCGACACTCTGGAGTGAACGACATTGCTGAAGCAGCTGGGCCGAACAATCTCGCGCGAGAGAGCTCGAGACGAACGTGTCTCCTTGAATTCGACGACGCGGACAGGTGACAAGCGGCAAAGATTCCGAGACAAGCAGCCATAAATTCATTTTCATTTATTACTGTGCTGGCTCGTTCTGCACGCCGCTCGTAAGTTCCTTCGCAGTGCTAGTCGACGCTAATCCACATCCCAGTTTCGAAACGCTTGGATTTGCACGAAGATTTGACTGGAGATTAGTATCGCCATTGCAGGTGAGGACGTGATTCTAGGAGTTGACGGAAAGTTGTGACCGTTGGAGCTTGACATCCCACCCTTCACGCAGCTCTGACAAAAAATCATTTGCGTTCCGGTGAGGTGCTTTCGGCTCTGTAGCGGTATTTTAAGCATCTAGAACGGTTGAGTAGGGAAACCAGCTTTTTTGACGGCTTTGCCGACACTTCTGAGACCAACAAAATTCAAATGGTTCAAATGTGCAAGCCCGCAGTGTCAATGCCAAGTTTCGCGAGTGACAAACCCAAGGGCTGGCTGGCTTGCTGCTCTGTGCTCGCGTACACGCTGCTGAACACCTTCGATTATCAAAGTGCGTCGGAGTGTTCGTTCCGTCATAATAAAAAACTGATCCATGAATATATTGGCCTCTGCATAAATTGACCAATGCCCACATGGGAACATGTGTGTGAACTGGAGACCCACCAAAAGGAAGAACCCCATGCAACTCATGAATGTACTTTGGTTCATAAGAAAAAAAATGTTCTAAGAACACAGGAAAACTTAATATAGCATGTTTCACAGCGGCAAAGCAGTGGCTGCTGTTGAGGCAGCAAGCAGGGCAGCAGCAGTGGCAGCAACGCCAAGAGCAGCGGCAAGCGACACAGTGGCCATCTCTGGTTGCCTCTGCAGGAAGTCCTGCACCGAAATGCCTGTAGCTGGCTTGCGCCCCGCCCCCCGCGTGGCGATCTGCTCCGCACACTGCTTGCCCGACAGCACCGCCCCCTCCATTGATGCCAGGTACCTCTGTTGGAGGGATACAGGGAAAAAGGGGAGCAGGGGAGTGGGACAAGGGAGTGAGGGAGCCAACAGGGTAGTTGGGAGGGACCTCAAGAAAAATCCTAAACACTATTCACTAATACCCACCCCCTCCCTCCCCACACCCACACACCCACACATGCCCACGCACCTGCATGGTGAAGCAGCCAGCGAGGTAGAAGTTAGAGATCAGAGTAAGCCTGGCGGCCGGTAACCGCCTTGTCTTCACCACAATGCTCTTCCGCAGCTTCGCCTTGGCTCCCATCCACACGAACCTCTGTGGGGAACAACCTCCCAGCTCCACACCCACACATCCACACCCTTACCCACGCTTACACACACACTCATACACACACACTCAGGCACAAGCACGCACCTGCATGGTGAAGCAGCCAGCGAGGTAGAAGTTCGAGATCGGAGTGGTCTGCCCGGGGCGGTACGCCTGGCGGCCAGTAACCGCCTTGTACACCGACCGGGGCGTCTTCACCACAATGCTCTTCCTCAGCTTCGCCTTGCTGCCATCCGCACGGATCTCCGTGGGGAACAGCCTCTCCAACTCCACCATCGTCGCCTGCACTATGTCCTCATCACTCCTCCCAATCCACTCCTTCGCCGGCGCAAACACCAGCTCCAGCATGCTCGCGTTCTCATCCGCATACCCCTTGCAGGTCACCGACATATCCGCGTAGACCGACAGCAGCTTGGATCGCGAGAAGAGCAGGTGATCGACGGTCGTGAGCTTCCGGTCGAACCAGAGGTGGACGTTGATGACTGGCACGCCCTCCAGCCCGTCGAGCTTTTGGAAGAACGGGTCGGCTTTCCAGGCGGGCGGGAGGAGCAGCTTGAGCGGGTCAACGGGCATGGCGGAGACGTAGAGGTCGGCGGTGACGGTCTCCCCGCCCTGGAACTTGAGGCACTTGACTGAATTGTCCTCGTTCAGCTCAATGCTCTGCAGCCGCTTCTCCAGCAGCACCTGGGATAGCAGGGAATTGGGAAGTGGCATGGTGAATTTTGAGGGATAGCAGGGTGGCAAGGCATTGGAATAAGAAGGGGGGTGGTGCAGGGAAAGTGGGAGGGGGTGCAGCGAAGGGGTGGGTTGGGAAAGGGGGGGAGGGAGGGGGCGAAAGGGAAGGATTCAGAATGAAAGCCTACCTCTTCCGTCACTTCCTCCACGCCTACCTCTCACTGACTTCCACTCACCCACCTACCCTATCGCCCTCCTCTGCTGCAGCCATGACAGCCTTCCTCAACTGCTTCCCCAAGCCCTTGACAATGCGATACTGAACCACCCTCACCTGTCTCTACGTGCCTGTAACACCTGTTGCTGTCCAGAGTACCAAGAACACACCGAACGCCTGAAACACTACGGACAACTGTAACGGTCTTGGTTGGGTTCTAAGAATCAAACCCAGCTTCTGCCCTACCCCCCTTCTGCCCTATCTTCTATGCTGCCTGTGCCTCTAATTTGTCCTCTGCACATGCCCACTGCACCAGCAAACTCCTCCCTTTCCGGCCGTGCATTGTCAATGTGCCTTCCTTCCATCTATGCACTTTAGACGACCACACAGTCAAGACGCCCTCCCTCGCGCAACCCGTCCCTTCGTTTTCTGCTGCATCAACTGCTGCGCCACACCCCACCCCTCTTATCTCGCATCCCCTCCCTTGGTCGTTGGCACGCCATGCCGTGGCTGGCACAGGCGGGTGAGAGCACTCAGAAACACTCCACAGTAGCCCCTGAACCCTCATGCTCAGCACTCTCGCTCACCTGTCCGCCGCCCTTGGTAATGTGCTCCACCATGGGCTCGCACAGGCGCGTGGTGGGCGGGCCGTCCAGGAACGCCATCTTCGACCCGTGCCTCTCCTGGAGTAGGGGAAGAAGGAAACAGGATGGGAGGGGAGGGATGGGATGGGGGACGAGGGCGAGGATTTTGGTGATGAGGTCTCTATGGTTACCCAACGAAGCGAGAAAGAAACTTAAATACTTACGTTACATGTACCGAATGTTACAATTATAACCGTATACATATTAGCGGCAAACTCACCTGTAGGAAGCGGTTCATGGCGGGGAGGATTGACGGTGGAGGAGATTCCCACTGACAGCGACCCCGCACCTATAAGTTATAACCATGTATAGTTACCACCCTAAATACAATAGAACTCATGATTCACCTGCAGGAAGCGGTTCATGGCGGTGAGGATGACGGTGGAGGAGATTTCCCAGGGGTCGATAAAGTTGAGCGCCTTGGCCATGGCGATAAACACCTCCTCGTTCACGCGCTCCGGCACGCCCTGCTTGCGCATCCAGTCCGAGATCGACAGCCCGTCCTGCTTCTCCACGTACGATTGCCCCTGTAACCCGGTAACCGGAAAGGATGGAAAAAGTGTGAGTGCGTGCGAACACCTTATAAGCCATCGAGAGAACTCCCAACCCTCGTCTCTCACCTCTCATCGCTGATCTGCCATCTCTCGTTAGCTCTTATCGATCAGAGTTCGTCGCTCATCTCCCTCAGCTCTCATCTCTCAAATCTTAGAGCGAACCATTCGGTACTGGCAGCGGGACGGCCTTAGCGTGACGGTTACGCTCCCGACAGCTCTTGGAGTGCTGTGCTGACCTGGATCATGGCGGGCAGAAGCCCGATCCCGAACAGAATCTTCTCCGGCCACGTCAGCATATCGTTGTTGCGGAGGATGGCGACGACGCCGTTGGCGGGCGCGGGGATGTCGGGGAAGTCGAAGCGGGAGAACTCTCCGGGCTTGTCGGGCATGGCGAAGATCATCGAGTGCTCCTTCCACTGCAGCCGGTCCTCAATGTCCAGCTCCTTGAACAGCTGAATAACGGGACGCGGGTTGGGGAGGTGGGGGTGGGGACAAATTTGACGGAGTGCGCAGTAAGTCCTGAAAATCCCGACCTCGTATCGCATTGCGAAGATCATCGAGTGCTCCTTCCACTGCAGCCGGTCTTCAATGTCCAACTCCTTGAACAGCTGCGGTAACGGGAAGGAGGAGGTGGGGGAAGAGGTGGAGGAGGGGGGAGGGGAGGGGGACGAATTGTGCACAGTGAGACGAAAACTCGTATCGCATGGCGAAGATCATCGAGTGCTCCTTCCGCTACAGCCGATCTTCAATGTCCAACTCCTTGAATAGCTACGGAAGAGGAAGGGAGGAGTGGGGGAAAGCGAATTTCGCAGTGGCACTTTCTGCTTTTCTAGTTGACCAATGGAGATCTGACTCTTGTAAATGTGTTAGCTGTTCAAGGACTCTGTTCCCCCGGCTTCCACCTGAATAAAGACTCAACTTTAGCATCCTGTACAGACGATATTGTTCAGATTCAGCCATCACAGCCATCACCAAATCATCACAGCCTCCTTGCTTACCTCCATCATGTTCGGGTAGGCTCCGAAGAAAATGTGGAGACCAGTCTCGTACCAGTCGCCCTCCTCATCCTGCCAACCGAGTCAGATATTGAAAGCAGCATTTAGAAACGTCTCAACCCACAACGGAGGCTTGAATGCATGAAATTAGCAGCATTGGCGACCGTATTGACAAAACGAGGACTCATAATCAAGAAAAAAAATCACAAGAACGATAGCGAGTCACAAATTGAACGCACCTGCCACGCGGCGACCTTCCCGCCAAGCACGTCACGCGCCTCGTAGACGGTGGGGATGTGGCCCGCATCCACCAGATACTTCGCCGCGCTCAGCCCGGCCAATCCGGCGCCAATGATAGCGACCTTCAACGGCTTCTCGGGCCGCGGAAGGTTCTTAAACGAGGCTGAGAGTTGCTGAGCCTCCCTCTGCGGCTCGGAATCGAAGTCCGGCTTCGGGTAGTCCTTGCACCGGATGTTTCCAGGCTTGTTCGTCCTGGACTGGTGCTGCACGCGGTTTGCTGACGTGGCATTGGCGCGGGTGGATTTCGTGGCACCGAATGTGGTGGACGACGCGAATGCGAGCTGCTGAGCTGTCGCTGGCGCAGCCGTGCGCTGCGAGAGAGAAGATAGAGAATCAGCTCCTGCAGTCAGCGCAGCGTTCGCGGCCTTGCTTGCGAGCGCCATAGTTTCTTTTAGAGCACACGAGGTCTGGGATAAGTGAAACTCTAGACCAAGTGCTGGTCGGAAAATCTTAGGGCCTCCCTGCAAACGAGGGTCCTGAACTGACAAGCAGTTTCGCTGTATGGTGACAGAGCAAATGACCTCACCTCAAGTACAGAGTGAGAGGGAGCAGCAGGAAGGTCACCCACCAACCAGTGGCTGGGGGCCTCAATGTCACGGAAAAGGCAGCAGTCATCCAATGAAGATGCAGATTGCGGATCATGGATTTCATCCATCCCCTCGAGCCCCGGTTCCTTCCTGCCTTGGTGTCGCTCAGGGAGTGGAACATGTGGTGTGCTGTCTACGAAACTGTAACAAATGCAGAGTTTTTGCTTCGCAACTCATTTGCCATGCGATAGCTCATGTTTGCGCTCAGTGCGACATTTAGCGACACGGGTTACACCACCTCGACTTTGACTTGAGCTCCTCATTTCGCCACATAAGCAGCCTCCAACCAATCCGTGCGCGCAATGTCAGTTCCCAACGAGTTCTGTTTCCGTGATGCGAGTGGCGGGGAGCCATGAAAGGTCTTCCCTTGTGGCACGTCATCGTTTCAAAGGAAGTGGATGATCCCAAGCCCAGACCTTTCGACGTGGCACACGCAAGTTCCCCAGAGACGCTATCCACATCACACAATTGCGGCACAATTGTTACCACGAGTTTCCATCCAATACAGCACGTTAGGGCGTGTCTGAAGTGAATTTCGACGTTTGCCGACGAAACTTTCGTCGACGTTCCTTGACGAAACTCGACATCCGTTTTCAGCTGTGTTCACTTCAGACACCCACACGACAAAATAACCCACACGTGCCATAGGAACACTGTTATAAGTTGCCCATGAAAATTCGACGTGGAATTAACAGAATCATTCATGTAACTCAATTGTTTGCAATATCGCGAATTTCGCTTAGCATAGATTGTTGCTGGTAACACCGGATATTCTACTGTCACATTGCCAGCGAAATTTCTCTAGCACGTGTCGCTCTCGTCAGTTCTTATTCACGTGTGTTTGCCACAGCTATGCAGACATGGCGTGTCGAAGAATTGTTTTTGAAACACTCACTGACTACAGTGACTCAAACAGCTGCCCGGTATCACTGTTCGACATCCCTTGACATGTGCACAAACGTCGAGTTTCGTCGAGGGATGTCAGGCTGCACTTCAGACACCAACACGCGTGGGTCCCACGGATGAGTTTCGTCGACGAAATTTGACGAAACTCGACGTTTGCACTTCAGACACGCCCTTATTCATAAGAACGAATATAATAGATTGGTACACTAAGCGTTTCGGGTTTTGCAATGTTAGCATGTATGGAAGCATCTGTACGTCAGTTCTTGTATCGAACCTCCCGAATGAGCAAAGTCGGGTATGGAGTGTGGGGAGTGAGGGAAAGTTTCGCCTTGCCATCGTAGGTGCGAACAGCTGCCCAGACGGCTGGCCGTCGTACCGGGGGAGCACAAGTCGCAACACGACAGCACAGCACACAGGGTGCTCTCCAGCCTTCCGCTAAGTGTGCGAACTAGAATTAGTCAATTCTAGTTCGCACATCGTAGGCTGGAGAGATGTAGGCCACCGACATTCCTCGATTCTAGGAAGCCCGCCCGCACTTAGAATATGGGCAGAAGGGATGGAGTGGAGAGAAGAGCGGACCCAGCAGCAGCAGATGACCCTGCCTCGAATCCCATCATCGTTTTACCTCCCCATCCTGCGGTTCCACAATCCCTCCCAGACAACGGCAGCTTGCGTGCAGTGCGGGGAATTTACAGCCTGTTCGAGGATTACGTACACGTAGCTCCCGTTTAGGCGTTTTCGAGTGTCGCGTTGAGGGCGTCGAATGCGCAACGTGGGTGCTTAGATTCGTGTCGTGCTACCTCTGACAGCGCAGCAGCCATGGAATCTCTCCGTCGACTTGCGACGTTCCTCTTCGTATTCGCTGTCGTCGGCTCGTCAGTCGCTGTCGCACGGGCGTCGTTCATCGTGCAGACGCACAGCATTCAGATCACGGAGCCAAAGAGCATTCGCGGGACGTACGACAGCGCAATCGCCAACTTCGGAGTGCCTCAATACGGCGGCACTCTAACGGGCGTGATTGTATACCTACAGAACAACAAGGCGGGATGCACGAAATTATCCACGTCGGAGGCCTTTAAGAAGGGCGTGGGTCAACGACCCACCATTCTCATGGTCGACCGAGGAGGTAGGTCGCGTCCTACGTCGTGCTTAGAGACGTCGTTAAACCGTAAGCGTGAAGTTGTCGCCGTCCGATTCTTAACCCATTGCTCCTATGGTTGACCGAAGATTTGGGCCCCTCTCTGTGTCCCCAGTTATCATGGTCTTAATTCAAAACATACAACTTTGTTATCCGCCGAAATTCGTTCCTACTCACCCACGATTTCGATGGTCGGTTGACAATGTAGGGCACTCATAAATAAATTTCTTTTTTCGGTTAGTAGGTCACGCATAGCTTCTAGTTCTCTTAGGGGTTCTTACAGAATCCCGTATCAGGCAGTTCACTTTCAATTACAGTCCTTCACAATCCTTTAAAGACCATCGTATGGAGCGAGCAGGTACTCACATGTCACTCTCACGACGTACGTATGCCACTGGTAGTTTCGCCTCTCTGAAATGGTCACTGCTCGCGTTGCTGTGCGCCGGTAGACGATGTTAGGCTCATTCCTGAGGAACTTATCATGCCTGAGGAGATTCGTTTCCGAGTTCACTCAAAATCCTCATAGTGTTTACTCGCTTCTATGCGGGCAATCTTTCTCCAGCTGTGCTACGCGAACTCGCGGGTGGCTCTTGAGGCGCCTCAAAAGCGGGTGCGTCAGGCGCGCGGGCGGAAGACGCGGACACGGAGTTGCTCGGGACTACCATGGAGACGCCTTTTGAGACGGAGGGCAACGACAGCGCGCCTTAAAACGCGTTCTCGGAGGACACGTTCTCCGTCAGAGGAAGGAGTCGCTCGGGACCCCTTCCTTTGGCGGAGGACGTGGAGACGCCTTCCTCTCAATCCTTCGTTACTACTCCCGCTCCCCCCGTTTCCTTCCCCCCCGCTCCCCCTCACAGACTGCTACTTCAGTCAGAAGGTGTGGTACGCGCAGCTGGGCGGAGCATCAGCCGTCCTGGTAGCAGACACAGACACAGAGTCGCTGGTCACAATGGAGGCCCCTGTGGACGACCAGGACACCGACAGCTATGTCAACAACATCACCATCCCCTCCCTGCGCCCTCTGCTCCTCCACTCACTACTCCCGTTCCTCCTGCCAACTCACCCGCATTCCCCCGCCTCCCCACTCCCCTGCTCCCTCATTCCCTTCTGCCCCCGCCCCCTCCTCCTGCCCCCGCCCCCTCCTGCCCCCGCCCCCTCCCCTTTCCCCCCCCCCAGACTGCTACTTCAGTCAGAAGGTGTGGTACGCGCAGCTGGGCGGAGCATCAGCCGTCCTGGTGGCAGACACGGACACAGAATCCCTCGTCACCATGGAGGCCCCTGTGGACGACCAGGACACCGACCGCTACGTCAACAACATCACCATCCCCTCCGCGCTCATCGAGAAAGCCACCGGAGACAAGATCCGCTCAGCTCTTTCCTCCGGGAACATGGTCCTGGTGGACCTGGACTGGCGGGAGACGCTGCCTCACCCGGACGAGCGTGTGGAGTACGAGCTCTGGGGCACGAGCAACGACATCTGCGGGCCAAAATGCAACGACCTGACCAACTTTCTGGATAAGTTCAAGGGCCTGGCGATTACCCTCGAGCAGGGGGGATACACGCTCTTTACGCCGCACTACATCACGTGGTACTGCCCGCCAGACGAGGTGGACTCGATAGCCTGCAAGAACCAGTGCATTCACAAGGGGCGGTACTGTGCTCCGGACCCGGAGAGTGACTTCGAGGAGGGGTATGATGGGAAGGATGTGCTGGTGGAGAATCTGCGGCAGCTGTGCGTGTGGAAGTGGGCGAATGACACGGGGAAGCCGTGGGTGTGGTGGGACTATGTCACGGACTTCAGGAAGCGGTGCAGCATGGCGGATAAGATGTTCAATGCGGTGTGCGCCGAGACCGTTCTCACTTCGCTGGGTGAGTGGGACGGACGCTGACCCTGTCTTGTGAGATGCGATGCAACACCATCTCCATCCCACTCCACCCCTTCACACCCGCCCTTCGCCCCGCTCCCTCCCCTCGCCCCTCGTCTCACTCCCCTCCCCCTCCACCTACCCTCCCCTCTCTCCCCTCCCCATCTCCCGCCCCTCTCCTATCCCCCCATTCCCCGCCAGGCATTGACGTGCGCAGCGTGCGCACCTGTGTTGGCGATCCCACGCAGGACGTGGATAACCCGCTGCTGCAGCAGCAGGAGGACGCGCAGGTGGGCGCATTGGGGGGGCGGTGGGGAAACGCATTGGGGGGGCAGTGGGGAAACGCATTGCGGGGGGGGTGGGGAAACGCATTGGGGGGGGGTGGGGAAACGCATTGGGGGGGCGGTGGGGGAACGCATTGGGGGGGCGTTGGGGAAACGCATTGGGGGGGCGGTGGGGAAACGCATTGAGGGTGGGTGGGGAAACGCATTGGGGGGGCGGTGGGGGAACGCATTGGGGGGGCAGTGGGGAAACGCATTGCGGGGGGGGTGGGGAAACGCATTGGGGGGGCGGTGGGGAAACGCATTGGGGGGGGGTGGGGAAACGCATTGGGGGGGCGGTGGGGGAACGCATTGGGGGGGCGTTGGGGAAACGCATTGGGGGGGCGGTGGGGAAACGCATTGAGGGTGGGTGGGGAAACGCATTGGGGGGGCGGTGGGGGAACGCATTGGGGGGGCGGTGGGGAAACGCATTGGGGGGGCGGTGGGGAAACGCATTGGGGGGGCGGTGGGGAATCGCATTGGGGGGGCCGTGGGGAAACGCATTGGGGGGGCGGTGGGGAAACGCATTGGGGGGGCGGTGGGGAAACGCATTGGGGGGGCGGTGGGGAAACGCATTGGGGGGGCGGTGGGGAAATGCATTGGAGGGGCGGTGGGGAAACGCATTGGGGGGGCGGTGGGGAAACGCATTGGGGGGGTGTGGGTGCGGGGAGGGTAGTGAATGAATGGTAGAGTGGGGGGAGTCGGGCTCACCACGCAGGACGTGGATAACCCGCTGCTGCAGCAGCAGGAGGACGCGCAGGTGGGTGGCGCTTGCTGGGCTGGGCCCTTGTGTGTGGGGGGTTGAGGAAGGGAAAGGGGGAGGAGGGGGAGGGAGAAGGAGAGAGGGGGGAAAGGGGGAAGACGGCATGTCATATCATAACCCGTTTCTTACTATGCATGTCTTGCCATCATCTCATTTCATGCCGTCGCATTCCTCGTGTCGGGTCACGATATTCGTCTGCTCAATTCATCTCTGCACCGAACACTGTCATTCCCATAATACCCTTCTCTCCCGCCCTCACCCCCCCTTTTCCTGCCCTTTCGCTCCCCCCACCTCCCCATCCCTCCCCCCAATCATGCGCAGGTGGGCAAGAATGGGCGCAGTGACGTCACCATCCAGCCGACGCTGGTGATCAACAACGAGCAGTACCGAGGTGGGCGTTGGGTTGGGACAGGGCGCAGGAGGGGGGAAATGGGGTGACTTTTGAGTCGACTCGACAGGCGTCACCATCCAGCCCACGCTGGTGATCAACAACGAGCAGTACCGAGGTGGGCGTTGGGTTGGGACAGGGCGCAGGAGGGGGGAAATGGGGTGACTTTTGAGTCGACTCGACAGGCGTCACCATCCAGCCCACGCTGGTGATCAACAACGAGCAGTACCGAGGTGGGCGTTGGGTTGGGACAGGGCGCAGGAGGGGGGAAATGGGGTGACTTTTGAGTCGACTCGACAGGCGTCACCATCCAGCCCACGCTGGTGATCAACAACGAGCAGTACCGAGGTGGGCGTTGGGTTGGGACAGGGCGCAGGAGGGGGGAAATGGGGTGACTTTTGAGTCGACTCGACAGGCGTCACCATCCAGCCCACGCTGGTGATCAACAACGAGCAGTACCGAGGTGGGCGTTGGGTTGGGACAGGGCGCAGGAGGGGGGAAATGGGGTGACTTTTGAGTCGACTCGACAGGCGTCACCATCCAGCCCACGCTGGTGATCAACAACGAGCAGTACCGAGGTGGGCGTTGGGTTGGGACAGGGCGCAGGAGGGGGGAAATGGGGTGACTTTTGAGTCGACTCGACAGGCGTCACCATCCAGCCCACGCTGGTGATCAACAACGAGCAGTACCGAGGTGGGCGTTGGGTTGGGACAGGGCGCAGGAGGGGGGAAATGGGGTGACTTTTGAGTCGACTCGACAGGCGTCACCATCCAGCCCACGCTGGTGATCAACAACGAGCAGTACCGAGGTGGGCGTTGGGTTGGGACAGGGCGCAGGAGGGGGGAAATGGGGTGACTTTTGAGTCGACTCGACAGGCGTCACCATCCAGCCCACGCTGGTGATCAACAACGAGCAGTACCGAGGTGGGCGTTGGGTTGGGACAGGGCGCAGGAGGGGGGAAATGGGGTGACTTTTGAGTCGACTCGACAGGCGTCACCATCCAGCCCACGCTGGTGATCAACAACGAGCAGTACCGAGGTGGGCGTTGGGTTGGGACAGGGCGCAGGAGGGGGGAAATGGGGTGACTTTTGAGTCGACTCGACAGGCGTCACCATCCAGCCCACGCTGGTGATCAACAACGAGCAGTACCGAGATGGGCGCATGTGGAGGCAGGGGGGAGGTGGGGGGCAGGGGGAGGTGGGGGGCAGGGGGGAGGAGGGGGGGAGGTGGGGGGAAAGGGGGAGGTGAGATGGTGCGAGGAGCGTCTCAGAAACTCATGAGCCCATAGTCTCATATCTGCATATCTCTGTAGCCTTTTCCAATTCCTGAGGCGTGCCTCAAAAGGCGCCTCAAAAGAGGCACCTCAAACCTCATAATCTCATAGACTCGTATCCTCATTTTTCCGTAGACTTGTCCAATTCCTCCCCCCCTCCTCCGCACCTATTCCCCTCCACCTCCCAACAGGCAAGCTGGACCCAATGAGGGTGCTGAGAGCTGTGTGCTCGGGGTTTGGAGAGGCCACTGAGCCGCCTGTGTGCCCATGGCTTGTGCACCCTCTCTCCCTCTTCCTTCCCCATCCCCGTCCCTTTCCTCGTCCCTCTCCCCCACACTCCCCGTCCCCCCCTCCTCCCTTCCTCCAACAGGCAAACTGGATCCCATGGGCGTGCTGAGAGCTGTGTGCTCGGGGTTTGAGGAGGCCACTGAGCCGCCCGTGTGCCTGGGCGCAGGTGAGTGAGGGGGGTGTGATATAGGGGAGTGGGGGCTGGGCTGGGCGCAGGTGAGGAGGAGAGCGATTTTTCAGGCGTCTCAGCTGTGTGCTGGGGCTTTGAGGAGGCCACTGAGCCGCCTGTGTGCCTGGGCACAGGTGAGTGAGGGGGGAGAGTATGATAGGGAGGAGGGAGAGTATGAAAGGGGAGAGGGGGATGGGCTGGGCGCATGTGAGGGGGGAGTTGGCTGTCTGAGGCGTCTCAGGAGTGTGCTCGGGGTTTGCGGAGGCCACTGAGCCGCCAGTGTGCCTGGGCGCAGGTGAGGGGGGTGGGATGGGGGGAGAGTGTGGTGAGCAGGTGAGCGTGAAGAGGACATTTTTATTATGCGCTCAAGTGTACCGGGCTTTCAGGAGGCCATTAAGCCGCCTGTGTGCCTGGGCGCAGGTGAGGGGGGGGGGGGGGGGGGGAGAGTGTGACAGGGGAGAGCAGGATAGGCTGGGCGGAGGTGAGGGGGGCGGGATGCGTGCAGGTGAGGGGGGCGGGATGCGTGCAGGTGAGGGGGGCGGGATGCGTGCAGGTGAGGGGGGCGGGATGCGTGCAGGTGAGGGGGGCGGGATGCGTGCAGGTGAGGGGGGCGGGATGCGTGCAGGTGAGGGGGGCGGGATGCGTGCAGGTGAGGGGGGTGAGACGGAAACTGCAGGCTTGGGCTCTGCTTGATTGGAATGGGCGAAAGAAAGGGGTGCCCAGGGGACTTGGTGCTGCAGCTGGTCTGGGATGGGTGCTGTGCGGTGGTGGTGCTGCTGCGCTGGGTGTTGCTCCTTTCCTTCTTATGCCTCCCCTTTACTCCCACATACTCTTAGTCATCTGCTTTGTATTCGAGACACCTCAAAACACTCTGTCCTCTCTCTTCCCTTCACTGTCACGTGCTGCCCACCTTCCGCTCCCTCTCTTCTCCTACCTGTATTCTGCTGCTTGCCTTTGATTCTGCTGCCTGTATTCTGCCTGCCTGCCTGCCTTTGATTCTGCTGCCTGTATTCTGCCTGCCTGTATTCTGCTGCCTGTATTCTGCCTGCCTGTATTCTGCTGCCTGTATTCTGCCTGCCTGTATTCTGCTGCCTGCCTGTATTCTGCTGCCTGCCTGTGTGCACATTTGTCAGACGTGCAGACGAACGAGTGTGCCACCAACAACGGGGGCTGCTGGTCGGGCTATAATGTCACAGCGTGCAAGGTCAGTGCGCCTCTTTGCATGGAGATCGAAGAGTAGGGTTTATGCTCGTCCCACCCTCTACGTTCCCACCCACTCTCCTTGCCTCCCTTGCTCTTGCTTCCCTCGCCCTTGCCCACCGTGGTTCCTTCCACCATCCCCGCCCCGTTTTCGCCCACTCCTTTCCCCATCGCCCTGTTCTCGCCCGCTCCTTTCCCCATCGCACTGTCCTTTGGCCCTTCCCCCCCCTCCCGCCCCTTTCTCCTCCGCTCCTTTTTCAAGTCCACCTTACCTGAATCAAATACCTCCCTGCCCGTTTCTCACCCACTGATGTTGCCTCCTTTGCTCTTGCTTCCCTCATTCCTTCCCCCCCTGCGTCCCTCACCTCCGGCCGCATGGAAAGGTAGTTTTGACCCAGATCCAGCGATTTAACTCGTTCTAATCTCGTCTAGGCTGAGCTTAGGCTAGTAGGGATTGAGTAGGTAAGAACAAATGTCATTCAAACCTGAGAGTACGCGTGTTTCGGCCGATGGCCTTCGTCTGCGCTCTATGTTTTTTGAGAATTCTCAAAAAACATACGCTGCATCGTTTCTCCCCCATTGTTGTTGCCTCCTTTGCTCTTGGTTCCCTCATTCCTGCTCCCCCTGCGTCCCTCACCTCTGTCCCCTCCCCTCACCCCTACAGGACACGTTCAGAGGCAGGGTGTGCCAGTGCCCCAGCGACCCCGTCTCGGGGGTCAACTATGTGGGGGACGGCTACAAAAAATGCTCCCGTGAGTGTTACCAGCTATGCTACAGTAGAGGGTTACCAACTGTAGCAGATACGCACGTCAATTGTTACCGGCCCACAGTGCAAACTGCTCATAACATGCAATTTGTGAAATTAATGACGTCAATAATGACATGCAATCTGTGAAATTAATGACGTCAATAATGACATGCAATTTGTGAAATTAATGACGTCAATAATGACATGCAATTTGTGAAATTAATGACGTCAATAATGACATGCAATTTCTGCAGGAAGTACCCTGCCACGTGACCATATGTTTTTTTTGCATGATCCTAGTCAGGAGAACTGAGAAACTGCTGAGGACTGACACACCATGACGTGTACATTCTCTCCAATCCCCATTTTCCCCCTTTCCTGCTGAACCCATCCTCCCCCTCGCGCTTTTTTCCTGACTCTCTTGCAGCCCAAGGCGTGGGGCGGTGCCGGGTGAATCACGGGGGTTGCTGGAATGCGGAGCACAGCGGCCAGACCTTCTCTGCGTGCGATGTGAGTGCCCGCAATGGGGTGGCGTGCTGTGCATGCGGGTGGGGTGAGCGAGTGGGGTTGGGGTGTGCGAGTGGGGTGGTGTACGGGTGTGTGAATTGATCCACATGTTTGCAATGCAGCGTCACATATCAACATCTCTCCATTCTTTCCCCTCTTTTCCTTCCCTCGTTCCCACCTTGCCTCCTTCCCTCCCTCCACTCTCTGCTCTTCCCCTCCCGCCCCTCCCCTCTCCCCTCTCCCCTCTTCCCCTCCCCAGGACACGTCTGTGTTCGGCACGGGGTGCAGCTGCCCGTCGGGCTTCACGGGGGACGGGTACACGTGCACGGACGTGGACGAGTGTGCTGCTGACTCCACCGTCTGCAAGTGCCCCGACTGCCACTGCTCCAACACCTTTGGCTCTTTCGACTGCTCCTGCCCGGGCGGGCTGCTTTACATGCGCGACTCAGACACGTGCATCAGTGAGTGATAGTTGCCAGTGTGCAATGGGTTCAGTGCCTGTGCGTGTGTCCGAAGGTTGCCTATGCCCCGTCTCCGACTGCCACTGCTCCAACACCTTCTGCTCCTTTGACTGCTCCTGCCCTGGTGGACTGGTCTACATGCGCGACTCAGACACGTGCATCAGTGAGCGATGAGTATTGGATGAGTGTCTTTTGTGTGCGGCGTGTGTGCATTTAAGTCCACCATGTCCCATCCCCGGACCCCGACTGCCACTGCTCCAACACCTTTGGCTCATTCGACTGCTCCTGCCCGGGCGGGCTTGTCTATATGCGCGACTCAGGCACGTGCATCAGTGAGTGGTTGGTGTCCCTTTGGGTGTCTGTTTGGGTGTCTACATGTGTTTCACATTGCACATGTTTGGCAATGTGTTGGCCACTGTGTAGTTGGTGCCCTCACTCTCTCCCCTACAATCACCTCTGTCCTCCCATGGCCCGTTTGCCCCTTGTCTCTCCCCTCCTTCCCCCCCCAGACGGCGGATTCACGTCACACATGTTTGGCAAGAGCTTGGCCATAGTGGTGGGATGGAGCACCTACTTACACCGTTGCTGTTCTCTATTGCACTCCCCCCCCACCCCCTCCCCTCCCAGACGGTTGCTTCACATCGCACATGTTTGGCAAGATTCTGGCCATCGTGGTGGCGGCACTCATCCTCTCAGCCCTCGCTATCACCCCTACATTCTCCCTTTATTCCCCTGGCCCATTTGCCTCTTGTCCCTCCTCCTCCCCTCCCAGACGGCGGGTTCACCTCGCACATGTTTGGCAAGATTCTGGCCATCGTGGTGGCTGCGCTCATCCCCACCCCTACATTCCCCCTTTCCTCCCCTTGCCCATTCACCCCTTGTCTCCCCCTCTGCCCCCTCTCCCCTCCCCTCCCAGACGGCGGCTTCACATCGCACATGTTTGGCAAGATCTTGGCCATCGTGGTGGCTGCGCTCATCCTCGCTGCTCTCATCAGCTTCGGCATCTACAAGTACCGGCTGAGGGTGAGTCAACGCGAGTCAACGTGAGTCAGCGTGAGTCGGTGTGAGTCAAACAGTGTATCAACTTGTTGCAAGGTGCGGACCATTGTAGTTGCTGCTCTCATCAGCTTCGGCATCTACAAGTACCGGCTGAGGGTGAATCAACGCCAGTCAATGCGAGTCAACACGAGTCAAAAGAGAGTCAATTATTGTATTGGTGTAGGTGCTGGCAATCGTATTTGCTGCTCTCATCAGCTTCGGCATCTACAAGTACTGCCTGAGGGTGAGTCAACATGAGTCAATTTGAGTCGAAGAGCGTCTGACCGACCGTGTGCTATGTGGTGCAAGGTGCTGGCTCTCATGGTGGCTGCGCTCTTTCTTGCTGCATACGTCGCTGTCCCCTAAACCCTACATGGATTCGGAGATCCGCACCATCATGATCATGGCGCAGTACGTGCCGCTGGACAGGAGGAGCAGTGAAGCGTAGCAGAGAGCGAACAAGCCTTGCTCTACTTCCATTCATTCCCCACTTCTCTGCATCCATCCACCCCCTGCTGCAGGCCTACATGGACTCGAAGATCCGCACCATCATGGCGCAGTACATGCCGCTGGACAGCCAGCAGCAGACAAGCCTTGCATCCGTGTGCTCATCACCCTCTCTCTGTGTGCATGCATGTGGCTGCCCTGCAGGCCTACATGGATTCCGAGATCCGCACCATCATGGCGCAGTACATGCCGCTGGACAGCCAGCAGCAGGACGGGGCCACCCGTGAGAGCCTCGTGCAGAGCGCATGAGCTGAAGGGGGGGGGGCTTTAAGGAGAGCCTCGTGCAGACCGCCTGAGCTGAAAGGGGGGGCTTTAAGAAGAGCCTTGTGTAGACCGAATGAGCTGAAGTGGGGGCTTTGTCCATGTGTGGCTGTTGAGGCACCTCAGAAGCAGGGGCAAGGGCATGGGCAAGGGCATGGGCATGAGCATGAGCATGGGCATGGGCAAGGGCATGGGCATGAGCATGGGCATGGGCATGGGCATGAGCATGAGCATGGGCATGGGCAAGGGCATGGGCATGAGCATGAGCATGGGCATGGGCAAGGGCATGGGCATGAGCATGGGCATGGGCATGGGCATGAGCATGAGCATGGGCATGGGCAAGGGCATGGGCATGGGCATGAGCATGGGCATGGGCATGGGCATGAGCATGGGCATGGGCATGGGCATGAGCATGGGCATGGGCATGAGAATGAGCAAGAAGAGGAGCCATACTCACATACTTTCCACCTAAACTGAAGGCCTTCTACTTACAATAGGGGCGGCTTGTAACTGCCATAGTAATGTCCCGATCCCTAACTACACGTTGGGGCTTAGGCTGAATTTCCAGCTTTTTTCCCAGATGTACTCTGATAATCTGATTCACCTGAGAGTTTGTTGGGAGGGGACCTACGCTGAGATTGACAATGCGTGATTTGCGCTGTCTGCCGGGACTAGCTGACTGTTAGTTGGGAGGGGCAGTTTTTGCTTCGTTGGCATGGCACTAAATGTGTAGATTATCAATTGCTGATGCCGTAGGCCATTTCAAAGCTAACTTTGAAGTTTCAGAGTTTTCCGGGATTGTACTCTGATCATTCAGAGTACAAACACGTACCGACTCTGATACAATGTACCTTGGTGCCGACATCCAGGATTAGCGGTCGTACCGTAATCCCCCGGATAAAAGACCCTAGGGTCTTCTATTGATCTAAAAAAAAAAACGAGGGGGGTCTATATAAATGGTACAAAAAAATATAAGACCCGGGTCTCAAGATATTGTATGTGTTTAGACAGATGTAATGAATTTCATTCATGTAGGAAGTGATTGCTCCGTTTAAAAAATGCTCCATACCCACGCGAATCGGTTTCAGCAGGAGGCAGGCATTATCAGACTAGAATCTGAATGTGGCATTCTGATTGGCCACATTCTTTGGGGCGTAGCGCTCGAGGGGGGGTCAATTGAAATGTACCACGTCCACTGCACCGTCTCAGGCCGCCTCGGTATTGCTACACCTTTTTTTTTCCCGAAGAATGCAAAAAAAAAAACATAAAAAGGGGGTCTTATAATGATTTCACCCCAAAAGGGGGGTCTAACTCAAACAGCCCATAATAAAAGACCCCCCCCCCCCCCGTATTAAAGACCCGATCACAACGTCACCACACACACTGAGCACAAGCAAAAGGCCACAAGGCCAGTGAGAAGAATGAAGAACGAGAGTGAATGAACTATGAATGAGGTGAGTACATATGTAAAACCCTAATTGGGTTGTACCCCCTATGGGATACCCCACTATAGCCTACACAACAGCATAAGCTATATAATGTTCTGACACACCCCCATAGGCAAAGTGGGGGAGAACAAGGGGTCACAAGACCAGTCAAGCAAAGCAGAGCAAGCTCAGGGTGGATCACAACGTCACCACACAGTCCGAGCACAACGACAAGGCCACAAGGCCAGTTCACATGCAGGAGTACACATATATATATAGAGCTAGACAAGCAAGAGCAGGTATATATATGTGACAGTACAAGTAAGGTCAAGAGGAGAGCAAGTGAGGCAAGACAGGTACAAGACCCAGCTGAGTGCAGAAGCGCTGATGGTCACAAGGCGCAAGTGCCTTGGTGAACACATCAGCAGTGTTGGCCTGAGAGGCCACGTACGCAAGTCGCAACTGACCACGCTGCTGCAGCTCACGAGCAAGAAAGTAACGGAGAGCAATGTGCTTCGTTCTGTGCTCCAAGCGCTGCTCTCGACACAAGGCCAGCATGGCCTTGTTGTCTACGTACAGCACTGGAGGAGAACGAGGCGGCTCTCCAAGGTCAGTCAGCAGGTAGGTGAGCCAGCGAAGCTCCTGTGCAGCCATGGCCCCGGCGTAGATCTCAGCCTCACAACTGGAGCCGAGAACAGAGGACGAGCGAGTAGCTCGCCACGAGACAGAGCCGGAACCAAGACTGAAGGTGTAACCCTGCGACGACCGCTGCGTAGCCTGGTCGTCAGCCCAAGAAGCGTCCGCGTGCCCAGTGAGGACCACTGGACTCCGCCCTCCAAGCACTAGTCCCATGCCCGACGTACTGCACAAGTATCGCAACACCCTCTTCGCTGCAGCCATGTGCTCTGGTCGGTGTCTCCCAGGAGCAACATAGCGTGCAAGAATGCTAAGAGGGTATGCAAGGTCAGGTCGTGTGCAGGTCATCAGGTACATGAGGCAGCCAACAAGCTCTGGATACGGGCCACTCGACTCTACTGACTCATCCGAAGGCAGAGCTGAGAGTGAGTGGCGAGTAGGCAGAGGAGTGGCCTGAGGCGAGGAGTACGTGAAGCCGAAGCGCTGAAGGACCTGCTGCACCATGTGTGACTGAGTCAGGGTAATGGTGCGGCGTGCTCTGTCCCGGGTGATCTGCAAGCCAAGGTAGCTGCGCAGTTCACCCAGGTCTGTGCACGTGTGTCTCTTCTGCAGCTCGGACTTCACGTGGGCGAGTCTAGCAGTGTCAGCTGTGGCAAAGACTAAGTCGTCGACGTACACGAGGATGTAGAACGGCGGCAGAGAGGTGTCGGTGCGTAGAAACAGCGACGGGTCGGCAGTAGAAGGAGCAAACCCAAGAGCCGCAAGCGTAGTCCTCAGTGTGTCGTGCCACTCACGTGGCGCCTGGCGGAGACCGTAGACTGGACGCCGGAGACTCCACTGGGTACCAGGAGGGAAAGACCCAGTGAAGCCAAGTGGGCGGCGCAGCCAGATCTCCTCGTGCAGGCTGCCCTGCAAGAAAGCAGTGCTGAAGTCGAGAGAGTGCAGCTCGTAGTCACGGTGAGCAGCAACGTGTAGCAGCACCCGAAGAGTGGTCATCTTCGGGGTGGTGGAGAAGGTCTGAAAGTAGTCAACTCCCTGTCGCTGACTGAAGCCACGAGCCACGTAACGTGCCTTGAAGACAGGCGGAGAACCCGGCGGCCGCTTCACCCTGAAGATCCACATGCCACTGACGATGTTCGCCCCAAGAGGGGGGACAGCGTCAACGTAGGTGCCTGTGGACTTCCAGGAAGCCATCTCTGCATCCATAGCTGCCTGCCACTGAGAGGAGTAGGGACCCTCTATCGCCTCCGCGTAAGAGCGCGGAGTCGGGATGTCAAGTGCATCCGGGTCTCCCTCAGGGGTAAGCAGTACGGACACGAGATGAGGTGAAGTAGCTGCCAGACACTGGAACTCCTCCTGCCTGTCCTCAAGGACGTCCGTGCCAAGGGCACACTCACCCCCGACGGACGGAGGACAGACAGACTCAGCAACAAGACTAGCAGCGTAGTCTAGACGACAGCGAGCAGCAAAGTCGACGAGCTCAGTAACTAGGGCAGACGCAGCAGTGGACTCAAAGGAAGGGTCAGTGACAACAGTAGCAAGGAGACGTGTGACAGTAGGACTGGCAGCACGAAGAGAGTCCGACGCAGGGTCGGGAAGAGCAGGAAGAGAGGACTCAGGAGGAGAAGGCAAAGGGGCACGCAGAGGAGCAGTAGACGGACGCAGAGACATCCTGTGCGTGCCAGGGACAGGAGGAGGACGCTGACGCGAACCACGACCACTAGCGCGAGCAGCACGGACAGGCGACGCAGGGCGAGACGCAGGCTCACGACGCTCAGTAAGACCTCCAGTAGGACCAGTGTAGGGAGAAGGAGCAGGTAAAGGGGAGGTAGGCTGTAGCAGTGACCGCGACGGGACAGGCTGTGGACCCTCCAAGAGAGGAGGAGGACCAGGAGAGGGCGGAAGACCAAGAACCTGCTGCAGGAGTGGAACGAAGTACGGTCGAGGCCGCGTAGCTACGCCAGAAACAGCAGGGACAGCACCAGTACCCCCAGCAGGAGCACCCGCTCCAGCAGCACCTCCAGTAGCTCCAGAACCTCGAGCAACACCAGGAGCATCCCCAGCAGGACCGCCAGTGGTAGTCTCAGCTCCAACACCCTCAGCAGCACCAGCTCCAGTCGAACCCGCAGGCCCAGCAGCTCCAGTACTCCCAGTACGAGCACCTCCAGGACCCGCAACAGCAGCACCCTCAGTAGCCGACGAACCTCCAGCACCAGCAGCACGGCTCCAGCGCCGGGCAAACCACTCGCGCAGCTCCTGTGGAGAGAGTGGCTCCCGGCGAGACAAAGCACGCGTAGAAACTCGAGGCGGAGGACCTCCAGGCGCAGCACTCCCAGGTCCAGCACCCCCAGGCAAAGCACCCCCAGGCGTAGCACCCCCACACTCAGAACCCCCAGGCTCAGCACCCCCAGGCTCAGCACCCCCAGGCTCAGTACCCCCAGGCTCAGCACCCCCAGACTCAGCACCCCCAGGCTCAGCACCCCCAGGCCCAGCATCCCCAGGCCCAGCACCCCCAGGCTCAGCACCCCCAGCAGCACCAGAGTCACCAGTGACCTCGACAGGCTCGACTGCGTCTACCTGGGACACACCTGAAGGGGCAGGACCCTGAGGGGGGAGGGGGTCTACCGGGGGGGGACCTGGTACAAGGAAGAGCGGGGGCGGGGGGGGGGACGGAGTGCGGTAGGGGAAGAGGCGGTAGTAGGGTACCGACTCGTCGAACGTGACGTCCTGAGAGGACAGAACACGGCGAGAGGTGGGGTGGTAGAACTGCCACCCAGGCGCGTCTGGGGGGAACCCCAGGAAGACGCAAGGAGCAGCACGAGGGGACAGTTTGTCCGCAGACAAGTCGCGGACAAACGCCCGAGATCCCCAGACCCGGAACGCCGACGCATCGCCCACCTTCCCGGTCCACAGCAAGGCTGGGGA